ATCAATGGTCGGATGCACTTTTAAGTTGCGGTGATCACCCCGCTGGGCTGCCTCAGTTGTCTGCTCCGATCAGGGGGTTTACTATAGTTTACTATAGTTGTGCGTCACTAGGCGCACGGGTAGTCAAAATCCCACAGGCTTAGTGCAGTGAAATGCACATAAAAATATGGTGGTAACGTGAGATGACAAAAAGCCTTTAGCTATGGTATATAGTGATGCACAGTACTAGGTTATATATTGTCTGACAGCCTTAAAGAAGCTCTGTCAAATGATATCTCATAGGTACTGATGAGACACAAATAAGCAAAGTTTCTAGCGTTGGCCTTAATGAATTGACTTCCGAGGAATTCGTTTGTGGTGTACCAGGCTGTCGTCGGACTTGCCTCAAAAATATAGGCCCCGCTGGATAGAACTTGGTGACGCGAATGGATTGAGCGTACGTCCAAAGGGGTGGCACAAGAATGTGAGTGGATAAGTTCAATGTAACACAAAGCACAGGATTGCACGATTAGCACGCATATGGTGACAATGAATCGTTCCATGCCCAACGTTTTACTTGTGTATATTGCCTTACGGCTTGTTATGTCAATTCAAACACAAGTAAAATGTGCAACGCACGATTTTCTAACCTATGGCAATTGCTAACCCACCTATCTGAATTCGTTCAAATAAAAGGAGTAGATGGTGTTTACAGTTTTAGCACAAAGAAATGCAATCAGCTCCGCATAGGTGACAGCTGCAGCGTTTGGTACAAATGGATGATGCGCTCCCAGAATTCACTAATCTGATCAATTTAATTAGTGCACTGATTTGCAGCAACCCAACCCTTTAAGTGTAGTTGTGGGTTATTTTGTGGGAAATACGCAGCCAGGGGACTTCAGCCCGCTGGTATATGCACTTATTAGACTGGCGCCTTCGGTTTCCTTGTGGACTCGGTTACAGCAACCAGTATCCGCTTCTTGGGTGTTTGGGACACTAAACTGTTGGCTGTTAACATTCTCTTTGGACACATTAATGCATTTTTAATTTGAAAACACTAACACCTTAAAATAAGGATCCATCTAACCTGACTTCTATTGCTGCCCCCTGCTTTTTAATTAGATATGGTTTCAAATCAATTCTGACCTACTGATTGAATAGCTGAAGTTGTGTATCCATTGTTAAATGTGTGTATTGTTCTAGACACTTGCCTCCGGCCAGGGGCTGTTTTACAACACTCACTGCAGAACCGTTGCGGCTAAGTAGTTTCCATGGATGAGATATCACTTGTCCAACTACGCCAGGCAGCTTTAAGGTAGCAAAGCGTTTGCTTTCCTGCAGCAATTTGTAACTTTCGAATCAACCTCAAAGGTAAAGAAGACAAATTCACTAGGCGCTAATCAATCATCATCAACAACAGCAGTACATCAGTCATTTGAACTGATGCTTCGCTGCCATACAACCGTGATGACCTATAAAATAATGAATAATAAGAGGGAGAGATGGGCTCTTACCTGAAAACCTTAATGCCCTCAGCAAACATTCAGGGTCAAGGCGCCTACACCTTGTGTACACAACATACCGTCGCAAACAGCTGGCTATCGCGCAAAGATAAGGCGGCATCGGCGAGACAGCTTCCTTGCAGCTTTCACTGCCACGCGGCATAATCAGCCATTACCCCGCAGATAACTCAGCATCAAACACACTTAAAATATACAATCCGATTAGAAGACGGCAGCAGACTCTCCACTGGTGTCGGTTGCGAGCCATATCCTGTAGTCTCGAGCCAAGCACAAGGCGAGTCACGTGGACTCCAGCGCTACGCAGCACCAATTCGTTCTGGACCACGACAGCATCCTCGGAAGAACCAAAAGCTGGTAAACACTTGAGTTCATAGAAGTCTTGCATTCAAAGCAGAACTCGCTCAATAAGTAATTGGACTTTGAAGTCCCTTACGAGGCTCTGCGAACCTGCTCCGTGAAGTCACACAGACGATGTTGCCTTGTCTTAAATCGCAACGTCCGCAAAATAATCGTAGAACTAGGAGAGAAAAGCTCAAAATCCGCATCCACACCCTGAGCTACGGATTTTCTCATCTATTTCATAAATACGCATTAAAGTACCTATTTCATGCTGTATGCAATTAGACAATCTGATCCATCGAAAAATCCACCCTCTAAAACGGTGTTGCATTCGGGTTCCTATTGGCTTCCTGGTTTTACCTTCTTGATCTTGGCTGAGACGATAGAATGCACGTACATAATGAAGCGCCTTAAAAGTTTCCTCATCTAGAAAGCATTTTGACTGCAGCAATAACGTCCCACGTTTGTTATCCGTGGACTGTAACCAACTTGCACACGTCACTTAAGTTAATTGTAGCTAACTTCGATAACGTTCTCAGGGTTGTGGCATTTCCTTAAACTATATTTTCTGACGCCTTGAAACCTTCGCGGAATTGTTGCAACCAATTTATTTCATACGCTCATTTACTGAAGAGTTATATCACCATATCCGTATGCATTATTCGAGTTATTTTATTTGATATGGTCGTTTCCAGTGATTGGTTGTTGCTTGATATCATCGCTGTGGCTGCGCTGGATGTGCTTGTTGACAAGGTACCTACCTGTCTATCAGCAACTACCTCGTCCATACTGGTTCCAAGAGACAGTTGGTCATTGCTGGAGGGGACGGGGTGCACGATCCTTGTGACCGTGCTAGACTTGAGGAGTAGTTCCATGCACTCAGTGTGGAGCGGACTACGGTCCAGCCACCGCCTTGTGTGCATGTGTTTGCCTGTGAAGGAGTGTGGGCCGGCTCCGTTGATGAAACGTGGCTCCCATCCACATGCCTCCCAGTCTTATTCCTTCGGGTTTACACTGCATATGGGATGTGTGGATGGATCAGTGGGTGATGCAGCGCAAGCCACCCATGATCCTTCTGTAAACACAAGCGTCCTGTGGCTGGCCACAGTGACAGACAAATCCGAAACCGGATGCCACCAACCATACCCAATACTCGTAATAACCTGAGCTGTACGCGCCGTACGCAGCTTACCTGCTCAAAGCAAGAAAACCTAGCATGTTTCAATAGAGGACTGGATTATCGACGTGAATATATCATAATATATCTGCAAGCTTTAACTTCTATTTCTGGTAAACAAACTACACTACGATTTCATTTTCTGCCAGTATTTTTAATATAATAGCTGATGCAGTCTAGTATAGGCTGAATCCATGTAAAACGCTGACTGGAGATCGAGCGTTCGGTTGAGCCAGGAGAAGTTATGTCAACGCACCTAGCTCACAACAAAGTCTCTTTGACATTGTATACAGTAACCAAAATTTTCAAGGAATCACGGGCAATGCTGCTTTTCAACACAGCAAATATTCCCATTGTAATCAAATGAGTCAAGGCCAGAAAACATTTCAGGGTTAAGATATCTTTTCGGTAAAATCTCGTCAGACCCAAACTTTTACATGACACGGATTATGTGGGGTAAGCGTCAAATCGGGCTGGGATTGATTTCTAAGGTGTTTGAAAGGTCAAGATCGATGACTAAAGGTGGCTACAGATGGTAGGAAAAGTGCATCAAAGGAAATTAATACAAGATTCAGGGCCTAAAGTAAATAGCTAAGGTCACAAAGGGTAGTTAAGTAACCATGTCAGTCGGCCAAGGTAGTAGTATCGGCCGTATGAATCGTTTGTGTACGCATAATTCCGGCTTCAGATGATGGATGTAAATAGCCTCGGCGATAGACAAGATTTGCTTTCGGAAGCCTTGTGATAAGCGTTCAGGTAGTGAATAGATGACTTTAAAGTCATTCTCCGATGCAGTATGGCCACTTTCGAAGAGGTGCGACATGATTGAGCTGTCTGAGGCCCTCATTTCGCCTTTGTAAAACCACGCCGGGATGTGCTCGCGAATCCTCTGGGATAGACGTCTCGTTGTGCGACCCACGTATCGTGCACCACAAGAGCACGAGTACTGATAAACGAGCATTGAACGGGTCAACGATGGCAGACTATCTTTCAAGGGTTTTGCAAGCAATGGTTTGTTATGGTAAACAATTCTTAAGCGGGCTGCGAAATAAGTTTTCTCAACAGCATCTTTCAAACGTCGAGACAGGATATCAGCTGCAGTGTCGCCCTTAAATGGTAAATGTATGAACAGCTCTTTCTTGGGAGCAATGCTTCTAGGTGGCTTTTGCTTGCGTTCTTTCATATGCTTCATGATAAACTTATCGGGATAACCATTCTCACGAAGGGCGTCGCTGATTCTCTGTAGCTCCTCGTTGACGGTATCCGGAGTGCAAATACTGCGCGCCCTGGGTCGCACAACGAGACGTCTATCCCAGAGGATTCGCGAGCACATCCCGGCGTGGTTTTACAAAGGCGAAATGAGGGCCTCAGACAGCTCAATCATGTCGCACCTCCTCGAAAGTGGCCATACTGCATCGGAGAATGACTTTAAAGTCATCTATTCACTACCTGAACGCTTATCACAAGGCTTCCGAAAGCAAATCTTGTCTATCGCCGAGGCTATTTACATCCATCATCTGAAGCCGGAATTATGCGTACACAAACGATTCATACGGCCGATACTACTACCTTGGCCGACTGACATGGTTACTTAACTACCCTTTGTGACCTTAGCTATTTACTTTAGGCCCTGAATCTTGTATTAATTTCCTTTGATGCACTTTTCCTACCATCTGTAGCCACCTTTAGTCATCGATCTTGACCTTTCAAACATCTTAGAAATCAATCCCAGCCCGATTTGACGCTTACCCCACATAATCCGTGTCATGTAAAAGTTTGGGTCTGACGAGATTTTACCGAAAAGATATCTTAACCCTGAAATGTTTTCTGGCCTTAACCAAAATTTGGTGTTCACCTTTACTTCCGTGTCATGTACTCAATTTTAATGCAAGGCTCAGTCAAAATTACTTTCTCGATGCGCATGATATATCTTCCTGCTTAAATTGCTTACCCACGTTTTTTCCTTCTATACCTTTATCCAGCACACAGAAGTGAGACCAAAAATGCAGCGGGTACATTACCTGGCCAACATTAAAACAGCTTTGGAGTTCTTGAAATCACGAAACGTACGTTTCCTGCTTTGTTTGTTTCAAAATTCGTGTAAGCCTTTTAACCGTCATTGAGCAGCTCCGCTTGTTAGATAGCGTACCAAATGGGGTAAAGTAGAATAGCCATGTGTTTATTATTTGAAGCAGGTATATTGAAGAGTGTTGCTCTTGGCACTTGGTCACCAAAACTGACAGATAATTCTATGCGCTCCTCTGGAGTTTACTAAAAGTAGCCAGGACCACAAGGATTGACGGATGGATGAATGATTGTGGTTGTTATAGGCCAGTGGTTCTCAACCTTTTTGGTGTTGTTGCGCACAAAGCGGGTGTGCTATAAACCATTATCCCAAAAATATTAGTTCGAAAAGCGAAGTAGCTATTAATTAATACATTTTTCGTGTTACAATACGGAAAAGTAATAGTATTTTTAATTACCTTCGTCTGATCAAAACATGAAGTGTCGCATCCACCCTTCTGACTAGGGTACACAACCGGCAAATCGGAAAAGTACGCAATATCAATTAGCCTACTGTGTAAGGTAGCAGCACCATACCATGCAATAGTAAGCAAGTAGATGCGAATCCCAAAGGACCCAGTCGAAGGGGAAATGTGGGTCCGCTGAATGTAACCGATTAGTCAAATTCCGTCTACCACACACATTGTCTAAGATGGTACCACCCAAAATGTGCAAATCTTTCTCAACAACATCTGGTAGCTCGAAACAGCGCCCATGAGGAGATCCGGTTTTATACTGTATGTTCGACCATCCCACTGGTAAAATGTATACTTTTTCTAGTCCAAATGTGCGAGTGAATAAGAGAACAGTTGAACAACGCACGAACGCCATGATTATATCACTGGAAGCCAGTGTGCACCAGGATAACACAGTGACTCCAAAGAGAAGCACTGGTGGAAAATTTGTTTCGTTCCAATCACGATTGACAGGGTCATCTTTGCTGTTATCTTCTCCAAATTGGGAAGAACATCAGTCGAAAACAGACCGCAACTCCGATGGACAAGCGGTACTCAGGACCCCGAAAATCAGCCATAACTCTAAACGCGTGATCATGCAAATTCAGTCGGTTTTTACAACTTGTATCAATAAGATGAATGAGATAGTAGAACCTGAGTCTACTGCATCTGTAACGCAAGAGTCTCTGGTCGAGTTCAAATCTTTTGAGACACCAGCCACATATGCGGAGATCGCTGCAAAAGTCTCTCGGGATGCTACCTTTAATGTCTTCTCTGTTGTAAACACCGCTAACGGTAAAAGAGCGACGAACAGTGAACCATTGTCACTTGGCATAAACCCAGGCCCAACGATTACCCGATCTTGCAGTTCAACAAAGAAGGGCTCCAATAATAACTCCCTGACTGTCCTGCGCACCAATGTCCCCGAATCTACTGCCGTCACGTTGCAGGGTAACTTGTCTGACGACAAAAACCAGTTGGACACAGTGTGCATTTTTATGTACGTAACATCCAAACCCATACACCTAGTGGGAGTTACTCGTCACTCGAACTCTGCACACTATGGCTTATCCAGAATTATTAGGGTAACACTGGAATCGGCCGTTGATGTAGAAAACGTTTTAATCTCTGTAAGTGCACTACAACACGGTCTTGTAAGATACGCATCCATCCCGAGGTCCCTTGGAGCACGCGACTATCGAAAAGAAACTTCACAGGTGGACATATCAAGCCGGATTATCTAAGTGTCACCTTTATTTATGGCGTGTCAGAACTTGCTTCTCACGGTAGTCATGAGGTCGGTACTCACGATTTGGAACAGTGGCGGTTCATTCGTGAAACACGTTCTTTAGACAAGGTTGTGGCGCGATCGCTCAAAAGGCTACCTCTCACTAAGTTATAGAGGAAGCGGACAAAGAATTCTTAAACTCATGCTTCAGTCAGAGCAGACAGCAACGGAAGTGTTAGAACGTTGGCGAAGACAACGTACAAGCCTTCTATCTGAACTTCGGTTAAAAGCTGCTGAATCCTTGCGAAGACTAGACATGAGCCTACCTGAAAAAGTAATCCTACGAGCGATTACTCTTGAGCATCACTTTACCGCTCGGTCACGCGATTCTGCAGCAGGTCCGGACGAGGAGTGGAATGTAGCTTGGCCAAATCGGTTTGCGAACGACCTGCCAGCATCATCCTATCAAAAACCAACAATGGCTGACCTCGCACTTGTCGGCGTTCTATCACACTTGACTCATTTGGCTTCCTGTAAAATCCTAGAAACCGAGAAACCATTCTGCCTTTATACAAATGCGCAAGACCTTTTCAATAAGCTGCCCAAACTGATGGATCGCAAACTTTCGAAGTCACGCGACATTATCTGAGTCACGGAGACATGGTTGCACACTGAGATGACAGACTCTGAAGTCTCGCTGCCGGGCATGTCACTCATACGAAACGACAGGCATACGAAATGAGGTGTGGTAATTCTGTATTACCGAAGCGACCTACAGTGCGAGGCCGTTGAGAATTCAGACTTACAGTTCACCGATTCTCTTTGGTGCCGCCTGCAATTACATGGCAAAGACACCTGCATTATAGCTTTGATATACCCCCCCCCCCAAACTTTATACCGGAAATGGACTGTCAACTTATGACAGCTGTAAGATGCAGCCTAAAGCGAAAGTACACACATTCTCAGCAAGGGTGAGTTCAATGTTTAGAAACTCCTGCTACAATCGGATAGTCACTCAATGCAGCTCTGCAAGAGCTTATAACAAGTGTTTCACTTTACACTTGTGTCATTACGGCAATTCGTTTCAGAATGGGTAATAGACCATCTTTACTGGATCTTGTTTTCACCAACGAGGAACATACGATTGACGTATTGATCGTAGAATGCCCTTTGGGTCACCGAGAACATGCACTCATCAGCTTCGACTTCATCTCCTATGCGAAATATCGTAACCAGAACCCTGAGCTGGTGCGAACCATTACTTGCGAAAACCGTTTAGACCAGCTCATCAGTGCCACAACCTGGTCGTTCCTCGCTGAAGATCATCCGGAAGTCGCTTGGCTTGAATTCGTCAGCAAATTCAATCAACTGGTTACGGATCCCTCCCAGACAAGGGTATTGAATGGGCCCAAAGCCGCTTATTTCGAAAACCACAGAACTAGAAAATGGGTGACCATACGCAACGCAGCCTGGCGAAAGTACAGCTCATCACGAACGCCAGGTAATTGGGACAACTATGTAGCCCATCGTAACCACTGCACACAACTGCTCAGAGATGACAAAGTCACATATCAGCAAAATCCGACGAAAACTATTAGAGCTAACCACAAAACTGTTGTATATGTATGGCAATGGATGTCGTAAGGCGGGGAATGTCTCCTCTCCGGACGACTGATGGTCCAACTAGAACAGCCGTAGAAGCAACACACGCTTTGCAAATTCAATATGCTTCCATATTTCAGACGGTCTTACTATCAAGCCATCTTCTAAAGTGTTTTCCCGCCTTCAGGACTCATCCACATCGCTTTTACTACCAAAGCTGTCTTGCGGAAGATGACGTCTCTGCGCAACCACAGCTTTCCGGGAGTCAACACCATTCGCTCAGAGGCACTGGGAGCAACAGCAAGACAAGTGGCAAAACTTTTGGCATATCCTTCCAGCGCTGCTTAGACCAGAAGGAGAGTCCTGCCATTTGGAAACTTGGAATAACAACACCGATTCACAAAGGCTGAAGCAGGACTGAACCCTCAAAATACAGCCCAGTTTCCCTTCTCCCTGTATTATAAAAGGTCATGAAATCCATCATTGCTGATGTGTTGACATGTTATCCAGAAACATTATTGCTCCCGAGCAACACGGTTTTCCTCGATAACGATCAAGCAGGACGAATTTATTAATCGCAAGTAGTAGTTGGACCGAGTCAGCCAACGCTGGGGAGGCCGCTGATGTGGTCTACTTGGATTTGCCGAAGGTGTTCGATCATTTAGATCATCAGGTTCTTCTTTTCATGCTCTGATATTACGGAATCAGTGACCACTTGAGCTTGAGCGTCAACTTTCTTCTGTAACTAAAATTAGTAGTGAGAGTCAGGAGTTCCCTATCTGAACCCATACCGGGCGAGTCTGGTGTGCCCCAGGGCTCAGTTCTAGTTCCACGGTTGTTCTTGATATTTATTCATGACCTTGGAAGGAATATCGCTTCAAATTTTCTGCTGTTTCTGAACGATACCAGGATATAGCGCAGGATCCAGGCGTATGCCGATTAGAATTTACTTCATTGTGACCTAGATACGGTGTATGATTGGTCAGCCCGCAATCTGTTACAGTTCAAGGTGGACAAATGCAAGCTACTCTCCATACGACATCAGAGTACCTATGCCTACAAGCTAGGAACGCATGTACTGCAGCGGTCAGTCGTCGAGCGCGATCTTGGCATCCTTGTTCAGGATAACTTGGGTTGTTCCACGCAATCCGCAAAGACCTCGCCTTGCTAAGACAAGCGTTCGGACAACTAGACACCACCATTTTTAGACCGATGCCGAATGCCTATGTTCTTCCCCATGTCGAATACGCAAGCTAAGCCTGGCAGCAATGGCTGAAGCACGACCTTACTGCACTGGATTAACCTCAACGTCGGACTTCTAAATACGTCATTGGAATGCTCCACCTTCCGTACGAACAGAGGCTAAAATGTTTGGGAGTATTCAGCGGGTGGTATCACCGCCTGCGATGCGACTTGATTATGACGTATTTGATTTTACACCATCCAAATCATGTGTGTCACTCTTTACTGCAAATCAGCAGTAACAACAAATTTAGAGGCCACTCCTTGAAATTAGCAGAACAGTACAGCCGCTTGGCCCGCCGTAGAAACCTCCTTTTCATTTGTCTGTGTCAACTATGGAATGCTCTCCCCGAATCTATTGCTTCAGTACCCACGCTAGCCATCTTTAAAATTCTCTTGTATGACGCACTGCGCCACTTAAATTGTGTTACTTGACGCTACTCTCCATCCTACTCCCGGGAAATACCTTGGATTTATTTTTTTCGCCTACTGAATCTATGGAAACGCTTGGGCTGCAGGGCTATCGATTCAAAAATGATAAAGCAATTATTTTGATATTAAAACTACTTAGTACTTTTGCGCATGAACCTTTTTTGCCAACCCAGCAGACCACCCAACGGGCTTTTAAAGCAATGCCACTTACCCCGTATAAAATCATTGTTCATTGTTCATCCGAATAAAGAAAATACCTATACTTGAGCAACATTTTATCAAATCAAGTGGTGATGTAGATTAATGGGAATGTTGACGTTGCTTAGTTCTAGCCATTTCTGGTATATGTGGTGCGGTTTCGGGCAATGCACAGCGCAAGTAGTGCTCCATGTTCATTCAGTTCCTTGCTTTGGTGTGTGATCAGTGATCAAATATGAACAGATGTCAGTGGATTCTCATGTTTCAACCATTCCTTTCCAAGTCCGTCCTGCATGACAGCTTCCCACAACGATTCTGTACCGATACTTCCCGAACACTAATAGCCTGCTTTGTCCATTCTACCTTGTAAACATTCAGTCGCTCCTTTACCTCACGAATGATCAACTCAAACGAAAAGCAATAGACGAACGAGCGGACAGCTGCTCTGCACTGCAGACTTATATTCTTAATTTAGGTAGTAAAATTTGTTACTGAATATTACGTAATTCACTGCCCACTCACTACTGATTAGTCATCAATGGCTAATCATTTATGATTAGGTAATTAGTTACATGTTAGTATACAGCTGATTATGTCATAAAATTTGTTTGTCCACATCTTGATGACTTAATCCTTGTGCTTATATTTACCCCAAACAAAATTACATTTGACCTCTTTGAGGTAAATACCCCCAGGTTCAAAATCAGTGTTTTAGTCCAAACTGATTCGGATGGCAGCTAATCCGTCTACGCAACGCTTGTTTAGAACAACATACAATGCTACTTATGCAGAAACCTAGACGAAACCACTCCATCCTTTTAGTATATATATTTTATTTACGCTGGCTTATATAGCACAACAGAAATAGGTTTAAAACAGGCTAACGAAATACATAGATGTTAACACCGTTCAAGGTTTTATTGCGATATCTTTTACACTCTCTTTGGCTTATTTCAGATAAAACTGGTCAACATCAATCCCACCGACATTGCAGATGGCAAACCGGCAATTGTACTTGGTCTGATTTGGAGTATAATCCTATACTTCCAAGTGAGTAAACAGGTGTAGGAGCAAACTTGTACAAGCTAATCGACAAGATCATTCGCACTGGATTCTCCAGTTGGATATTATCTGATTTTATCACAAACTGGGCCATCAAATAACTCATATATACATAGAACTGGCATTGACAATCAATATCCCGTTTAAGTGATCCCTAGGCCAGAAGTCTACACAGTGTGTTGGCCTTGGGCACATCGGGCTTTCTCTGATGCAACAACTTAATTTTGACACACTAGAGTGATTCTCTTCCACCCTACTCCCATCTATTTTTGTCAACTTTGAGTGTTTCATCAGTCTTTAAATCCTTCTAACTATGGTGTTTTCCAATTTGTGAATATTAATGAGTTCGCATTTGAACTTAGCAGAACCTGAAGGCAATGGCTACTACAGAGCTCAGCACATGTACTACAGCTCTACTCGGTTTTACCTGCAAAGATTATGTTACCTACGGCCAGCGTGATGTGAACGACTGTCTACGCAAAGTGTCCGAGAAACTATCAGTGCAGACTTGTGTGTGTATAGCCACCACTGTATCACAATATTCAGCTTTGCACGAAGGTCGAAATGGCTCAACATTGTTCACTGTATGTGGCGTCCTTGGTAGACATCTGGAGACGAGCCAAGTTACCAGTCATATACTTCCCATTTCATCCGCCTGTTTTAGAGGTCAGTAGTTGTGGGCATCTCCGTAGGGTTCAAACTCGAATTTTTCACCTTCTGTGTGCATTAGACGCGTTTTCACAATGTCAGTTATCACTTCCCGTGATATTTATTTCAGTAAATTACGATAATTATTGGCATTATTTGAAACATCCGTAGTGTGAGTGGGTTACTACAGGCAATATCCTCTGTCACAATCACAGCTAACTTTGAGCTCTATGTTATGAATGTACAAGCACAAGTTACAAAACTTAATTTGATCCCCATTGCCATGTTGTCGTAACTATATCATCCAATGAAACGTTTAATACGTCGGATGTGGTGTTATCGAGATATCAACAACAAACTGCCAGAATGTACACGGAGGCGTAATTTACGAAGCACTTTAGTTATGCATGTGTCAGTAACTGAATTGACACAGAAAATTTTGCGCTGTTTTGTGCAACTTGTCTAAGACTGAAGGAACATTTTAATGCTTAATACCGTTTGCTTGGTATTTACTCGTTCTAGATTTATATACCCAATTCGCGCTCGATACGAGCATGCTCAGATTAAGAAGTACACCAATGTGCCCTTCACTATCACGGAAACCAAGAAAAGGTCTGTGGCTAATTCCACCGACGATCCCAACAGCGAAAACGACTGAGTTACTGCGTATGCTACAACCTGACTCCACATTCACCTGCAACTTGCTGCCGTGCATAGGACAGGGTGGCCCTGCCGAGGAAGAGCTTCCAAAAAACTAGCCACCAGTTATTTTACAACGTTATGACCAGTTTGCGTCGTGAGCCATTAGAGAGCATGTAGTGCTACCTTGGCAACTGCCCTCACATCTGGCCCAGCGCCCTCCAGCAAACATGTTACAACGCCATCGATGGTAGGTAGAGCACGCACTACTGACGACATCTGGAAAGATAAAACAATCACCAATTACATAAACAGAGGTATTGACTCAACAAAGCACTTCCAGATGTGTGACTGCCCCCTGACCAAGTCTGTTTGTGATAGGTTCACCTTAAACACTTGACCCCCCAAAATGCCTCTTATAAAAAGTTCCGCTGTAGATGCTTTTTTTGCACACTGCTGCTGTGACGGCGCAATTTCATGCCCAAAATAGCTGCGAACTTGCTCCCGTCTTCGGTGTCTTTGCTGGGTCCATTCCTCATCTGGAAGTAACCTGTGGACATCTTTCAGCTATTTCACGTCGTTTGCATATTCGCAGACTGTAGATGTGCCTCTGTGGTACTGGCACAAAATCCCTCTCCGACTGTTATCCCGGGAAACCGTCACGCATGTAGCGCAGTGAATACTTTTCACATTATACACGCCCTGTAAGACGCAAATAATACATTCCGTAGATTATTAATCCTAGACTATACTCACATCCTCAGTGGGAGACGTTTGGTGACATAGACGTAAACGTATCCCGAACTCGAATCTGAATTCGGACCGAGATCAGTTTTGGAACGAACTGCGATTACTTCGATTGATGTGGATGCAGCGGACACAGATAACTGTCGGTTGTAACCCGATTTTAATAATACTGCTTCGTACCTCTTGGCACTCGGGAGTTAAAGTTATTTTCAATTCGACTCGGACACATTTGTTGTGTAATCCCATGATTGTCTTTCTAGCTGGTAACATAATGTACTAGACAAAACTGATGGGTTAATTTACTTTTGGACAGTGAGTGAACATGGCATAAAATGACAGCATGATCATCGATAGCTGTTTAAGGTAAATGGTTCAACCTGTGTACAAACTTAGTGCTACTAGTCAAAATAAATGACGCACAATTGTTGAAAATGCAAATATTTGTTCCACACGAAGCAGTCGTTGTTTGTGGGTGAGAAAACTGGATTTGGCTAACGGTGTTGCGTCCACAAAGGAAAAGAATCAGATTATTATAAACCAAATTTGCTGCAGACTTCACAACGTCTGTAATCAGCTACAAAGAAGCCTGGCTCCTTGTAGTAAGTCTTCATTGGCTGTTGCATTAGACACTAATCTTCGCCATTAGTAAACACCAGTATCTAGCTGACGATTGTAGGCAAAATGATTGATAGCTACGAGAAGTGAACTAGTGGGTTGTGGAAGGTATGCGGCGCAAATACCCCGACATATTCACAGTATCTCATTCTGTTGGTCATGCGATGTTGAATCTAGTGGTTGTTGACCTAATGGGATTTGGTCTTTAGCGTAGCTAGCAAAAACGCTGAACTCACCTGCGTCTACACTCACCATTCATACCGCTTCATTCCCCCCGAATCGTGAAGACAGCTTGCACGTGTCTAGTTAATCAGATCAGCTGCAGTGAAACGCAATGGTCAAAGACATGAATTCACTGAAAAATTGAAAGGCAGTGAGCAGGAATTAGTGACTCAATGCACGAAGAAACAGCCGATGGTCTTTAAATTACCACTAAATCATAACCTGTGCAGGTTGTTATAGTGCTACCGCTTCACTCAGTGCCCCATGCTGAGGCTGATGTTGCATCCTGGATGCTTCTTCACCGCAGTTGGGCTAAACCAACTTACACTTAAACTAGGTCTTTTTAAGCTGGATAAATTTCATTCCAATTTATTTGGTTTGTTCTGCCTCCCTGAATAATGTTCTATTAACTGGCCACGTTGCTTACATTAATTGCGCTTATCTTCGGTAACTTTGTTGCGTTTTGTAGCATTTTTAACAAACTTTTGGACATTTTTTCCTTATCGCAGATTCGTTGCTAACCAACTTACTTCATGTGCTAATTTGGCGAAGAGTTATGCCATCGTATCTGTATGCATTATTGGATTTATTTTATTTCATCTTGTCATTTTAAGTGATTGGCTGTTGCTTGATATCCCCGGTGTGGCTGCGCTTGATATGCATGTTGACAAGGTGCCTACCTATCTATTACCCACTATCTCGTCCATACTGGCTCCAGGAGACAGCTGGTCGTTGCTGGAGGGGACAGGGTGCACGGTCCTCGTGGCCGTGTTAGGCTCGAAGAGTGGTTCCATGCACTCAGTGTGGAGCGGACTACAGTCCAGCCACCGCCTTGTGTGCGTTTGATTCCCCAAATACAGCGTGTTTGTGTTTGCCTGTGAAGGAGTGTGGGCCGGCTCCGTTGATGAAACGTGGCTCGCATCCACATGCATCCCGGTCTTATTCCTTCGGGTTTACACTGGATATGGGGTATGTGTGGTTGGAGCTGTGGGTGGTGCAGCGCAAGCCATCCATGGTCCCTCTGTAGGCGCAGGCGTCCTGTGGCTTGCCACAGTGACAGGCAAATCCGAAACCGGATGCCGCCAACCGCTTCACTCATGAACCTGAATATGATTGGACCTCTTTGTATACGGCTGCAGTGAGTGACTAGGTCTACCAGTCGCCCATGCTGAGCTTGTTTCCTGATGGAGCACGACAATTTCTGAACTGAACAAACGAAGTGTTGATGATTCTGCACTGACTGAAATACAACTGTTAGAAGCGGGGTTTCCCTTTAGAGCAGTACTTCACAACCTTTTTGATGTTGGTACCCACAAAGTGGATTCACTATAAACAATTTACCCAAGAAATATTACTTTAAAATGCCAGATAACTACTGCATTTGTTACTTTGAATTACGGAAAATTAGCAAAAATTGCTTTACTTTTTATCATTTAACTGAAGAAAACACTTATCTTTGAACAATCGTTTATCAAATCAAAGGTGATGTGCGGTACTGAGACGGTTGATATTGTTTAGTTCTAACTACTTCTGGTAACTTTGATGCCCTTTCGGTTATTTCATCTCGTAAGTTGTGCTCCAAGTGCATTCGATTGGTGTGATCCCTGATCAAACATGAGCAGATCTCAGTGGATTCTTATTTGTCTCAAACAACCCTTATAATTCCGTCCTGGATGACAGCTTCCCACCACCACTCTGTATCGATGCTTCCCGAACACATAATCTGCCTAATAAACATTCAGTCGGGCCTTTATCTGGTTGGCTGACCCATACTCCCAACTTAGTGTTCATTGAACTCTGCACTTCAACCCGGGGAAAGACTGGCTCAAAAAAACAATGATCAGCCAGCGAGCCGATAGAGGTGCCATCTAGCTGCGTTGCTTTGCAGGCTTGTATTTGTACTTTAGGTAATAAAATTTATTATCGGATATTGTCTACTTCACTGACCACATTAATCATTGGTCACTGATGGATAATCAATAATGAGTAAGTAGTTAGCTACATGTTATAATATAGATGATTTTGCTATCAGATCTGTTTGACTGCAACTTGATGACCCAAAGCTCGTATTTATATTTGCCCCCTCTCCCATAAAACTCCATCTTATCCCCTTGGGGATAATTACCCCCAGGTTGAGAACCACTCATTTAGAGTGATATTTGGAACTCACTGGTAAAAATGTACACAGTTTCTTCAAATAGGCATCTGTCACTTTGTAAGAAACGGTATTTCCATTTGCACCATTACTACCATGCGTGGGCTGCGATGATGTGAAATCCTTTTTTCTGAAACGATCCTGATATTCCTATTCGTTTTTCGTTGTAATCGAAAGGCAGAAGTCCACCTAATGTGTCCGGTCATTTGCTGCCGCTCTATGTTTCGAAGCTCAGACTGTGGGCAAGACGGACTCAAAGATATCACAGAAACACTTTAACGAAATCATGGATGCAGCTTGCTCGTTTTTTACAATGTGATTTAGTAGAAAGTCACCCGATAGTGAGCCTGTTCGTTAGCGTTTTTTCTCTACCTAGCGGTCTGGGTTGCCATGGTTACCATGTGACGCAGAAAGTGGTTGTATTGCACTGGCACCAAATGAATAGCTGGAATGAAACAGACGAAGATATGGGATCAACTATGCGGGACCAGCATTGTATCTCGATATGGGCGTGAAAATACTTCAGGACAGCATGATAGGAACGCTAAACATGGAGATGAAAATCCACCGGAGTCAAGGTGATTATTTGCCCACAGACGTCAGATAACAAGTAAAGTTACATTTTTATTGCGAAGTAATAAGGTTTCTTTAATATCCATTAAAGATCCGCAAGTAAATAGGGAGAGGGGACAATTTCTTGTAACATATCGAAGTTAAACGAATCTTGGTTATATGGAACTATATCCTGCTTCTAAAGAATCACGGTACTGCCCATTTCCGAAAACTACAACACATTGGTGCTGGGGTACTCTCAGTTAAAACGAGTGGTAAACCAAAAGACGTGCGCTTCGCTGCATTGTATCCTATGAATAGGCTGCGGCGTCGGAGTCCGTTAAATCAGATTTATGGTCACTGTCTGCGTTGAGTATGAGACTGACACGCTTTTAAACATACATTAGTGGCCCCTCAACTGAACTCCGACGAGGTAATTTGTTAAAAGTCTGTATGAATCTGCTAAATTCCCTGCAGCTACCGCATGCCGTGCTCCACTTGTTGCTTGAACTCCGGTTAATCGGATGGCTAATCCTCCTCTCTGCAAGGTGTTTAGTAATTAGATAAGTGGAAGGTAGTCTTTATCATCTTACGAATAGTTGGCAATTCACATTGGCTGTTATGAACTGCATCGACCTGAGTACGAGGTATGGTGTCCCAAGAATGAACCCCCGTAGGAGCCGTTCACCTCATATAATATTGCATAATCTGAGGAGGTTCGCTCCTACCCGTTAGCAAAGTATCCTAAAGGTCGACATTCCTTACCCAAACTTCCTAGTGATTGTTTCATTTATACTAAAATATCATCTCTTAGCTTTCACTTAAATGTATGGCCGTTTCGGAATTTCAGATTGAAGAACAAGAAGAAATACTGCTCAGAATACTTGGACTTCCTCCTGGAGCCACTCGGACAAAGGGCACTGCGAAGGATATTTTAAAAACTTGGGTTGAAGATATTTTTGCCGGGTCGGTTCTGGAAGAAAGTTTTAGCACGTCTTTGCGAGGAATTTTCTTTATTGCAAATATCACTCGCTCTGTACTGCATTTCTTTAACCATACTTGTCTATAGATAACACGTACAAGCTACATAGAAACGGACTGCGCTTTTTTGTGCGCTGAAAAGCAGCTTCTGCATTTAATCTGAAGAGATAGCCACACGCCTCTCCTCTCCTCTCAAAGACGGATCACCCGATTATCGTCCGATCACCCTGGTGAAGTACAGAGAATGAAACGCGTTATCATATAGCTAAGAGACTCATCCCAAAGTTACGGGGTATTACGTACGGAGACCGATGCAGACAACTAGGGCTGTGCGCCCCATCGCATCGTCGGTTTCGATCGGATCTCATAACGGCGCAATGGATAGTATATTTGAGTCATTCCCCTACATTGAGGCCACTGTTGCACGTAAGTGCACCAAGCAGTACTTGCGGCCAGCGGTACATGCTTGCGGTGCATAACCTAAAGGGGCTATTTCACCCTCTTTGCTTCGATCGAATACTGGAATAGTTGGCCGGAGAAAATAATAGAGACCAATCGGTGTTGGAATTCAAACAATTCTTAAACACCCACTTTGCGGATTTCAGATTCACGGATCGCATCACACCCGAATAGCGCAGGCGCAGCTGTAATATGCTGCAAATGCGTAGGAAGCAGTGACATTATTCCGTGCATGTGCCCATCCTAATTACGATTGGGTAACACAGATAAATACCTACTGGCCCTCAAGTTACCGTATTCAGTATTCGTTGGCTCTTGTCCGATTTTGCACGATTATCACGGCCAGTGGTGAATCGTGTGCCGGTATATATATATATATATATATATATATATATATATATATATATATATATATATATATATATATATATATATATATATATATATATATATATATAACGCAATCTGTGGTTTAGATATTGTGCCATCCGAATTATGTCAAACTCGAAAGATAGGAACAAAATAAGAAGAAAAAGTAAGGCAATATTTTTGGCCAGGTTTCCACAGCGTTTTTGCGATTTTTGATAGCTTGTGTGATTAGGGGATTGAAATGAAATAAACGTAACACGCAGAGATGCACCCCGTCACTGACATTAGCTTTTAGCCATGACTACGCCGGCGTCCAACCAGAGACACTCGGTATCTGGAATCCCAACCGTTGAGTCAAGAACAAATGATCCTGACGAATTTTTCGCCAGCTTTTTCATGCTGTTTCTCCACGTCGTAGGCTGCCCACCGCCCCGCTTCCCACAGCCCTGCCCAGTAACCGCAAACAACGCCTAATAAGTGTCCAGGCCACCGCAATTGACACAGCGAAATGAGCTCCTCGAGCGAGTGGCTGCCTCCATTAAAGACTCGCTGTCTAACTTCCACATCGGTTACGTGATGCATCCACCATCCACAGGCATTAGACCTCAAACAAAGGTGTTCGAAACCAGCCTGCGCAGGTCGACGGTACGAGCAGACCATATCTCGCAAACGTACAACAGTACAGCGCAGATAGTTACACAATAAACCCGACCTTTGATGGATAGATATGGATGTCATGGCCGCGCCACAAGTGCCTCAGTATGGAGCAAGCGAGACGAGCTCTTGAGATAGGCATCGAAATCTCGTCTTCAAAAGCTCCACCAAACACGATGCGACATCCCAGGCAGACAAAACCATCCACAATCACAAGTGTCTCCTCAGCAAGAGTGAGTGCAGGTACAAGCAACTGCCAATGCTGAAAAGAGGGCTTTTTACTTGCAGGGGGAAAAGTGCATGCTGTGCTTTTATGCTTCAATCGTCAAGCAGTTATCTGCAAGTTGGACCGTCAAGCAGCAAGACCATATCATCCGCATAGTCCAACTCCAGTATTCGACTATCTGGTAGGAGGTCAACATCAGCGTTTAGTGAGACCTCTAGAGCATTTTTGAAGACATCCTTAATGGCAAAACTGAAGAGGAATGGGCAGTCAGGACAACCTTGTTGAACCCCACTGGAGACAACAAGTAAGGCGAAAGCTTGTCACTAACCCTAACTCTACCTGATGTTATACTGTACATAGCAGATAGTACAGAAACGAACTTTCCGGGGAAGCCATTTCTCAACAAACATTGCCGTAATGCCGTCCTGTCGGCCGAATCGAAGGCAGTTCCTATCTCCAGAAATACAACAATCGTTGGCTTTTTGGTGTACATAGCAGAGCTCGAGGATCTGGCGGAGTGTAAAATTATGATCGATGCAGCCGCGACTAGGGCTGAACCCGGTATGATTTCTCCGCTCTAGCGATTCGTGCATTGGGGATAGCCAGCGAAGTATGATGGACACTAGAAGCTTGCGAACAACGAGCACCAATCTGATACCCCTGTGATTGGAGCACATTGTGTGACGGCCCTTTTTGACGATGGGGACGACTATCGACTCACCCCAAGATGATGGAACCTCGTTTTTTGACCAGACTTCTGAGAACAAAGCGGTGACTTCTGGAGCCAGCGATAGCCACTATGTTTAATTAGATCACGGGGTAACCTATCAGGGCCCGGTGCTTTATGATGCTTCAATAGGAGGAGTTCCTGCCAGATTTCCTCCGGGGGGGACTATTTGCGGGGACAGGCCAGTCAGCACCATTGAGTGCTCCAGGGAGAAGGTGGAGCTGGTGGTCAACAAAACTGCGTTCCAAAATGTTCAGACCATCGTTCTAACCCTTGTTGATGATTAGTGATTGATGAGCCATCCTGTTAGCAGATTGTTTCGCCCACAATGGATCGAAAACCGGTGACGCGGATAAGATGACGACGTTCTCTGGTATCATCTGAGACATTAATAGATTCCATCTGTCTCGCACCTTTATATCAACAGGTTTTATGATCATTTTGCAAACTTCCGCGCGATTCTCGATTCGGGGACCCGCGCACTTCACTACAGCTGGCGTCTACCGGGACCGAGCGGCTTCTGTCCATCAGCGACAAGGAGACTGTGGTGTTTCAGCTTTCCAACGGATGATGAGCAACTCCACAGCTGTCATTGCAGACATAAACGAAAGCATCATTATGTGCATTCATTGCGAATTTATATAATTGTTAAAAGCTGAGGCAAGCAGCGTTGATAGAGTGGTCTGGCAGTGGCTAAACTCTTAAGTGTTTGATATTTTCCGCGTTCGGTCGGTTTTTGTACGCCTTGGCGGTGCTCCGAAACGTATGCATAACTCAGAGCGAAACAATACTTGATCGGAGTCCAGACAAGCTGACCAGCACGAGCAGCAGTCTGTTACGCTTCCGTGACATCTGTAGCTTATTGCTATGTGATCAAGCTGGGACCAACCTTGTGTTTATGAAGGCAGGCGCCAGGTAGCAGTCTGACTCTTCGGAGTTCGAAAACAGGTGATCAAAAGAAAACAAGCGATGGTCGGAACAAAGAGTCAGTAGTCTGTCACCATTGCCCGATCGACTAGTACAGAGGCCAAAACTACCTCCAAGATGGTCGTTGCTTTGTAGCAGGTGACCCACTCGCGCGTTTAAATCTCCGGTAAGAATGGAAATTTCAGATAGTTGGAGGAACGCAGAAAGTCATGTAGTTGTTGGTAAATGCAATCATCGCCTGCATTCGGGCTGCTGTCTGTAAGAGCTTAGGCGGAGACAACAAATAAGGCACACTTAACATCTCGACGCTTACTTAACTTACGTGAAGCTCATAGCCTGACCGCACAAAGCCGACTGTTGACTGGGACCGAGTCAAGCACAGCGGTCTCAGCCTTATCACTCAGTGCAACCCCGACACCAGCTTGGCTAGAAGCGGCCGCCTCTAGGTCCGCGGAAAGGAGCAAATAGTACTTGAGGTCAGAGTTTGCCGGACAGTTCATTCTGATGACGTTACTGGAGTCTTGCGATCCAGGTACTGAAAGCGGCAGATGTCTACCGAAGGCGTCTAAACAGTGCAGGCCAAGCACGCTTGCCGTCTGACGTGTATCAGAGTGCGAACATTGGGTTCTGCGAGGCAGAATGGAGAACAACTTCGGAGAAAAACTGTAGCCCTGGTGGAGTGTAATAGGTCTGTAATCGCCGACCATCAAACAGCAAGAGTTTGACTCTTATTTCCATCAGGCGCAAATTGAGAAATGCTACTGCCGAGTACCTGGGAGGAGGTAAGTGTAGTTACAAAACGGGGCGTGGTATGATTATGGAGGTTAAACAATGGAAACAGTAAAGCCAGTAGACGTAGCAAGAGTGAGGAAAGTATTTTAATCCATTCATAATTCGTCAGTGGGGGTGATATTACGCGGTTGCCCTGGCCAAAGTAGAGGATTGTCTTAAAGGGCCGTACCACTAATGTTTGATCAAGTATCTAAGCTACAAATCAGCAGGGCTATATGAGGGCGTCGCAACCCGTTGGGAGCTGGTGACTAACAAGTGCTTCATACGCCTTGACGTCCTGCAAAGGACCAGGGCCCAACACACCCTGAAGTTACAATGTCACTCAAGGAGAGGCAAGGGCAATGAATTTATTTAATGGCGAGTCACATCCGCCACGGCAGAGTGTTGTTAAGCGAAGATATGTGGCTTTTTATAGGGAGAATGCTTGCAAAGGCGAAGACCCACTACGTCCTGGAACACTGCCGCCGAACCATTTGTTGGCACGGGATAATCCCGAACCACCCAGCTGGCATCATGAGCAGGCAGTTCGGCAAACCAGGCATCGGGTATGATTAGTGGTGTTGCGTTCACTTTAATAATGTTTACTCATGACAGCAGCCACCATGTCAATATATTTGCTCACTTTTATTTGGTCTTGCCTTAATAATATATTTTCCCGGGTCATTTCAGTGATGTGCAAACGTGAGTTCCTCAGCCATTACCCGAACAGTGTGTGCCTTAGTTTAAGCACGCCAAACGCTTGCTTTGCACCGCGCTTGTACATTTTGGCTCAAGGAGCTGCTTGATGGGATGCCTCTTACATCTATTTGCGCCGATCATTTCAGTAACCAAACTAGAATACCTCACTCTAACAACGTTCGAACTTGTGGCCAAATGTTCACTTTCGGTAGATGTCTAGACTACGAACTCAACTCTCTTCCTACTTTCAGGAATTATGACGTGAAAGTTCGTGACTTCGGACCGAGCTGGAGGGACGGAATTGCGTTCAATGCCATGGTACACAACATTGACTCAAGTCTAGTGAAAATGGATGAGTTAATACATCGAACACCTAAGGAGAACCTGGAGTATGCGTTCAGCCAAGCCGAGACATACTTGGGAATTCCGAAGCTTCTCGATCCTGAAGGTGAACAGGTTTACACTTGCACTCAAACACAATAACGTGCACTCTTTGGGAGGTTAACATTAAAATGTCATTTATGCATTGTATTGCATCGTCCAACTTACTTCTATATTGCGCTATGGATGAATGACTGCACCGCCTAGGTAGCAGTTACTACATATTTATAGTGTCTTTGAAGCCACGATGACAGCAACCTTCATGAGCCTCGGGAAGTCATTATGACACACATCTGCGTCATGAGTATAGGATAACAAAAAATTCCGCATAGATTCAGCGGGGATCATCCTCCGTAAAGTTGTTTGAGTTAAACATGTGTATATTACGATCAATGACCCATAACCCTACTCGAGAATGAGTCACTGCAAACCCCTTGCACACAATTTGATAAAAGCTATACTGTAGAAACTGAATTTCTGTGTCCCGTCGACCCAAGATAGCCGCACACGAGTAAGCGTTGTGCTTGTTATTTTTTTCTTGCCTATTATGTGATCAATAACCACTCCCTTTATTGCCTTGTGTGCCTACATTCTCATTTCAAACTCCCTGTATACGGCAGTGCAATTAAACCTGTAATCGCCCGAACTGACGACTCTATTATCCCTTGATCTATCTTTTCTCACTCTAAACACCCTAGGGGAGATGTCAAGCACCTGCATTTTTACCCGTTATAAATGTTCATTGTTCATTGTTCACACACCTTCTTATGTAAGTAGGTATCACACTGCATATGTACTTAACTTGGTTATTACTCACCTACTTGTCGGAAGCCAGTGGTGATACAGCGGGTTACAGCATTCGTTTCTCACACTCTTTAGCAGGGGTTTGTTGCAACAGGTTGCACAATAAGCCCGGTGGAGACTGATGTCCTTTTCCGAAAACTATTTCGCTTCCTCAACCAAACGACTACAGCGATCAATTCAGCTCCTGGTTACCACCAAGAATAATGTCAAATATCTCCCCGGTTTCTTGAAGTAAACACTGCAGTTATGGATATCCCTGGCGAAGCGTACATTTCATCTGGAATGGCCAATATTTGTTGCCGATAGGTTATAAGGAGAGAGAGCCAATTTTGACTAAGCTGGTCAATGAAAGTGTATTCAAGCATACATTAGGCACCGATTACTACCTCAAATAATCATAATGGGGAGGTCGTAGTTGGAGTGCACCGTCTTCCCTTTGGAAGCACAAATATTAGAGTTACGCATGAATTATTACCCTACCCAGAGCATTCGAATAGTCTTAATAGGTTACACATCGTGACAGACAGAAGTCAGACAACCACACAGCCTGCTGAAACATTCTGGCCAACCGCTCTGCCAGTTCAGGAGCTTTCATTAGTGCTCTTTCATTAGTGATCACCAGACTAATCTGGTGATACCCTTGATTACATTGATTATTTCCCGTCTTCATAATGGTACTGACGAGATGGTACGAAATGCGCGCAGCTGCCAATGTTCGTTTTCCTGCCGTGTTATTCAGATTATTAAAGGGAACTAACTGCTTCACTTTGTGGTTACCAACAAGAAAGATTAGCTTCGGAGCAGTGAATGATTCTCCCCAGATGTCCTTTCGCATACTAAGAATTCCGATTATTAGTCTCGAACATGTGGCACATGAAAATTGCAGATTCTAGCAAAGCATCACACACGGATTACCTTGTAGGAGAGGAACTGATGATCGAACAAAGATTTTCCACGGTGCCTACATGATGCTGCAAACTAGAATATATCACCTGAACATTCTGTCTCCACTTCCCTCGTTTTGAGAAAACTACTGAATTTGTTTCTAGTTACGTCCTCCAAACATTGCAAAATATTTCCCATACTAGGTAGTATTATCATTCGGCAAATGGAGTTTTAAGTACTATGCACATAATATCGAAATGAAACTGTGAAAAAGTTATACCCATGCAAGGTATATGGCTACTGACTAGCTGGTACATAAAAAATGCCATACTCGGACCATCTGCATGTCGGACAGGCAGATGCTTCGTCGCCCATAATGTATGAATAAAAACAGTTCATAAAAAGCAGTTGTTGAACAGGTGATGGCTAATTGCGAATTTGCCACACCGGCATGCAGTCAGTTGGAGCGTGGAAAGGTGGGTGAAACCAATCGAGGGAATACTCTGCATGGAAGCAGGTCCCTCTGTGGACAGTTTCATAGATGGCCGTATTACTTTACTTGAACTTTTGGCTAAAGCTGCATTTGATATCGTTCCCACTGTATTAGTCTCTCTGATATATTCAAACTGCCAATCACTTGAACGAGCCGTTTAGGTTTGTAGAAAGTAGAAGTCATGATTAAACCGCACACAATAATCTGCACGTAATAGTCAGCCCTCGGTAGCTCAGTGGTAGAGCAGCGGACCGGAAATTCGTGGACCGAGGTTCGGTTCCCCTTCGAGGCGGATTATTGTGTGCGGTTTAATCGTGACTTCTACTTTCTGCAAACATTGCGCTACTCACAAACATCCTTCAAGTGATCCGTTTAGGATCCATTGTATCACAAGTGGACAATTAACTATTTTATACGACCTCGTTGTGTAGATAGATAAGACCACTCGGTTGGACTGCGCCTAGTAAGTTCGAGGAATATACCATTTATTTAGTTATTTAGTTATTGTGGGTATTCTGGAAAAATACTTAGCAGCAAGTTGGGGAAAGCTAAATATCACGAGATTCATCCATTCATTTCAATTTGCGGGATCTACGGTCAGCAGCACAACAGGCTTTGCTCAAAGAGACGGAATACTTCTCCGTGAACCGGAAGCAAATTGAGTACACTAATTATCCTTATGGCCGAGTTGATGAACTGTTCAAACGAATGTATCGTATACGGTTATTTAACAAAGCCAATTTAGTTTTTACATTATAAAAAGAATATCTAAAAGGAGCTGTTCCTAAATATGTCGTTCATCGGCTCAAGTTGGCTACTCTTTCAGATATCCGTCTTGACGCCGTCGTCATTTTATCTTGTACCCTTTGTAGATGTCGACGTCGAGAGGCCGGACGAAAAGTCAATTATGACCTACGTCGCTCAGTTTTTTAAGGCTTACCCCGAAGCTGGTAAACAAAAGCAAAAGAATGTAAGTGCTTCATGTTGGACTCGAAAATTCACGCAGTAGTTACACACACACACACACACACACACACACACACACACACACACACTAGTGAAGCGCAATTGATGCGCATTTCGCAGACTTACTTGTATTTGCAAATTAGTTTCTGATTGCTGTAGTATCACAATGCCTTACAACACATCTGCTTTCGTCTGAATTTGACTGCGTTCTATATCTTGGATACTTTTAATCAGTTAGCTGAATCTAATGAATAATCAGAATTGTGGATCTGTTAAGCAGACTGTTATATACTGTCGCTAATCGACTTCCATCTGTCCACCAAACCTAGCCGAAAATATAGGAGTGAGGCTTGAGATCAAGTCAATACGTGCAAACGTAGAAACAACCGTATGCTCCATCCAGTCTGTTCAGAGGCACGTAGTCACTTTACTTCTGACACACAGGAGGCTATCTATGATAGCAACGGGACAGTTTGCATTTTCACTGTGCAATATGCGATATGTGACTAACAAATGGTCCGGCAGCTCCCCAAACGGTGCTGCGGAAAGCTAATCCGTTACTTGGTTTGCCTCTGTACACTGATTCGCCTGCGCTGATCGGTGCCAATCTGAGGTTGTTGCTTCGCCTAATCGGAGCAGTGGCGATGGATGGTCACGTGGGTAGTCACGAGTCGTCTTTGCTGAACAGATCTTGGAATGTATCATTAGGTTTCATGAAGTTCGGAACGCATTTTCTCATTTTCCCGAATTCGTTCGTGTAACTTCTCATATCCAACTGCTTTCAGCATGGTGGCCTAAAGCGCCAAGCAAGAGGGTTACACTACGATCGATTATATAATGAAGCAAAGGGGTTGTTTAACACATAAATTCTTAAATATACATTGCCATGTTCCAACGGTTACCTCATTGGTACGTGACTTTGAATGCATGCGTTTTCCATGCGTAGTTGTGGTTTACTAATACGCATGAGGCTTTGTTGCTTCCGCCACGGCAGTAAAAAGTTGTAAAAGATTCAGCCGTGGCCATTATACCTTTAAAATTGGCGTTATCTCATCCAGTTAGTCAAGAATTGAAAACATTAAATTTCGCAACAGCGTGGCTTTTAAACAAGTAGGCCCATTAATTGATTAGAAAATGAAATACTTCATCAAATATATATATATATATATATGGTTCAAAAGCCTGTTGAAATCCCCAAATTACGACAAGTGAGCAGTTTACAATTATTTACACTTTCAGGAGACAGCCGACTCCGCAAAGCCGAAAACGATGAAAGAGCTCATTGAAAAAATGCGATCAGTAGAGAAGGACATAGAAGTGAAGCGAAATGGACAAGGCAATGCAGTTGATCGGCAATTTGGTGTGAGTTCACTTCCGGTTTTAACGAAATACACTTGGAAGCCACTTTCCAATAAAACACATGTATAATACGTGGATTTTTTCCACAAAACCTCATACGATTGCTCTTTCATACGCTGGTAAGTTTTATAAGGTTGTCCTTATGTGGCACCATGCTTATAGCACAGCTAGTAGTGTTGATAATCAGGATGATGTCGGCGGTAGGACTCCACATGTATTTTTTGGAGATGTCCTGGCCTGTGTAGTTAGTCAGTTCGATGGGAAATCGTGCTACACTGCGAAGTTAACGAAGCTTTCGGTGGAAGTAGAAGTTTGTACGGCGCCAGCATCGCAGGTGGTTGTTGGGAACGTCGTGATTAAATTACTTAAGGAAATGTGAATATGATGGATATTTTCTTAACTAAAAGTGATGCTGCCAGTTTTTTTTAATCATAGACATACTAATCTGTTTGGATAGGTCAAAAGACTTCCCTACAACGCCAGTTTTTAAGTAGCTTCTCACCGGTTAGATATCTTAACCGTCTGTACAATCATAATCTAGATGGCTTTTATCAAGACACTACTCCACTCAGTTCGACCTTACTGACAGGCTTATCTGAAAGTAACGGACCAACTGAATGAATATGAAGATGATTTAGAAAATTTCCGAAAGCAATCTGCAGCAGAGGACACCGAACTGATAGTTGCTGAAGAAGCATGGCTGGACCTGAACGAAGCTGTGGACGAATGGAAGTGGCACCTTGACTCTCTCCTCCCGGATGAAACGGGCACTGTAGCCGAATGGATATCTAGAGCAGAGAGATATCTGAAGTCAGTTTCAAAGTCATGGCATTTGAAGGGCAGAGCAGCCCAAAAACTGGGTGTATCAGGAAGCCCCACGGAGTCTTGGAGACCAAGCAGTGCCAATCCACCAAATTCCCCACCCTCTATTACCACGCTAGAAGAATTGGTTAGACAGCAACAGGTAAGTTCTGTGCTTATTACTCTTAGGCTACACTTCGGTGTGGCATTACACTTTTTAGTGCATGGTGCACATTGAACTTATCGTTGTCATCCAGGACAATAAAATGCATATTTCGGTCATGGTTTTCAGGACATTTTCGGTTCAAACGATCACAAGGCTAATTCTGTAAAGAATACGTTGAATAAGATTGTGGAGAATCAAGGGACACTGGAAAAGAACGTGCGTTTACCCACTGAGCTTCTGACACATTTGAGTAAACGCCTATCTGAAGTGACCTCTATGCGACCTGGCTACATGGCAACCTTGGAGGCGGCAAGGGCACGGCGACAGTTCCTGGATATTCTATATGCAACGCGCATCACACAGACTGAATCTGGGTTTACCATACAAGGTAGACGAAAGGCATCCGCGACTGGGCTCGAACATCGTTTGGATGAATGGTGCACAGTGATTACGGGATCCAGCCCTGAGGATTGCAAAGATCTGGTGGAAGAATCATTGCTTGACTACGAGGCAAGTCGAAGTAGGATTTACTTAATTTGCAGCCATACAACACATTGAGCTAACCGCCACAGTAATCTCTTTTCCTGGATGGCGTACTGGTGTGATTTAATTCGCTACTAGTGCCAATAAAGGAACGGTTGCTAGATGACATTCTTAAAGAAATGTTGTGGTGGTTACTTTCTCTCTTACTCAGAATAGTGACTGCTATCTGAAGGGCATTGTTGGTATTTTAGTTTATTGGTCAGCTATAGAGGAACAGGGCGTAGGTATCTGTAACTTTTGCTCCCGGATAATGAAAAAGCATTAAGTTGAGGAGGATGGTAATGCTTTTAGCAGCATGGCGGTGAAATAATGGGAAAAAGAGCAAGTCCATAAACTGCTCTATGCATCCATACAGAGTCACTGCGTTCGAAGTATGTCCTACAGTCTAGAGGATACCGTCGTTATGCAGCTGGCATTCCTCCTGCATCCCCTAGAAAGATTGAATGCACACGATGCGAAAAGACGTAGCTGTAGTTCTATGCAACTAACTTAGACTACTCAGCTGTTAGGTGCATCTGGTCGAGTAGGATATCATGAACAGATTTACGAAACCGTACTGAGGCAGTACCTGGTGATCACTACTGAGCCGCCATGTGTTAACTTCAGGTAATACTTTTTAGATCGTTTGAATACCCCCAACCATTTTCGGGTTTGATCAAGGCATTGTTATAGCCTAGTCGTGATGAAAAAGCTAAAACAAGCAAACCAACATCGTAATGATTGTCCTATTAAATCAGTATGGGCTAATGTTCATCTGAAATTTGAGTGCTTGTTTCTCCTACACCAATCAGTTTAATTAAACTGACCAACGCCGGTACTTTACCATTCGTCTACCCGTTACATTTCCCCGACCGTCTTCACCACTATGTTCCTTTTTCTAAATTGTGGTGCAACACTGTAACTACAGGGCTCTTCATTTTTCGGGCTTGTGGAGTTGGCCCGTCAGTGAAATGTCTATGTGGACATGATAAATAAAGAAAGAAATAAAGAAATAAAGAAATGGTATATGCCTCGGCGATGCGAGATGCAGTCCAAGTGCGTGGTCTGATCACTGTGTACTGCAGGATCGCAAAAAGTAATCAATTTGTTCATGATTTTTACAATGGATCCAAAACAGGTATTCAAGTAATTGGCAGGTTTAAGGTATTAAAGAATTTAAAAAACCAGAAACAATAACAAACGCAGATTTAAACGAATGGTCAGTTAAAGTAATACGGCGACACGTGGAACCGTCCCCAGGGGACCTGCTTCCATGCAAGGTATTCCCTCGTAAGGTTTCGCCTGCACTTCCATGCTATACCTGGCCGCGTTCCGGTGTGGCATGGTAGCACATGAGCCATCATCTGTTTATCATATGTCGTGTTCTTTTTAAGGCTGCTTTTATACATGTATTATGAGCGATGAAGTCTCAGCCCAGTCCGTCAAGCGGATCATTCACTTATGTCACTCTTTTACACGCCACTCAGTTGGTGGCAATGTGCATTGCATAGGTAAAATCATTTGTAATCTGGAAGCTATAATCCGTCACCACAGTAAATCAACCCAGTCGTGGCCAATAATGAAATAAGGAAGAATGTAGGGGAGAGGTTTTATGTGAAAACTACATCGTTAACGTAAAAAGCAGGCAGGTATGTTTTCTTACAACGGCGTACAAATGGATCGAGCCGATCCTACGATCAAATTGTGTGGCGTGACAGCAGGAGACAGATAACTGTAAGAGTTGTTCATAGGCAAAAGTCGCATAGGGAATCTGTTATTGCCATCACTGAATTCAAGTATATGTTTCTGGACTGTTAACTTCAGAATAAATGGGGAACTGATTAGCACTGCTGAACAAATGTAGGGAAGGGGAACGCAGAACAATATTACGAATTAATCAATTTGTGGGGAAAATTACGAAAATAGTTACTGACGCCACACCAGTAAATAATTTTTCCCTCGTTTTTAAACAGAAGATGGTTGGTATGAAATAAGTCTGCAAGGAGTAAAGTTTGAAAGGAGCCAAACCGCTTAGGAGGTAGCATTAAAGAATAGCTTAAGAAGCTGCTTGTAGCAGCTCATCCTAGATGATCATGCATTCTCTGGTGCTTTCGAGTCGATGTTCTCCGGTATCATTCATGATCCGGCCCTTCTTCATAGAGATTTTCATCATCAAGTTAACTTTTAAGATCCATTTCACTCTGTCCATTGAGAGACAAACCTTTATCATTTGCTTGAACAGTTGCGCACGAACACTGACGTAAGTCGATCCGACTCAGTACTTGAAAAGTGGTGTCAAACCTGAACATTTGGAGTCCAGTAAACAAAAGCGCCGGGCAACATGCTCGTTTTCAGTGGTTCCGCATTAGGCGCTGTAACATTCATTATATTGACAACTAAATGCGTGGCCGTCAATTCAGGAGACTAGCTTGGATTGTTCCAAAGATCCACTCAGCGATATGGATGCGTTCACTTCAGTGGGTAACCAGGAACAGAGAAAGATTCTTTTTTCCTGGACGCTCAAACAGCTACTGTACCAGTGTCATAGGTTGCCGACATTAATCACCCAGATGTCATCACGATAGCCCTTCATGCAATCAATGGCTTGAGGGAGGGGTTGGGATCCGCTACAAAATGGTCAAATACTTGCAGTGGGAGAAACGATTGCGGATATTTTTAATTACATCCTCAGTGTGTACATGAATAATTTAGTGGGGTTGAGTATCTCGTAGCTGCACTTACTGCACTCCACTACAAGCTTCGTTTTTGTTTGGATTCATCAGGTAGAGAAAGCCTGAGCTGGGAGTGAACCTGAGAAAATATTGGTTGGCGGCTATCGCCATGATCAATAGGTCAGTGAGTTCCGCGAGCAGCGCTTGACACAGCGGTTAGAATCTGAATGTTTGGTCTTTGAGTAGCTGCCGTTTGTCATCGATTACGACACGCCCTTTCAATGGGGGTCAGAAATGAGATTGCGTGTCGCAATGCAAGACACAAGTAGGCGTGCTCAAAACCCAGCAATCCATCAGTGAGGTCACTGGTCTTACAGCATTCGTCTGCCTAAAGTGTAACCTCCTGTGCATCAACCACTGTCACATGAAAGGGTCACCACACGGGTTGTATTTTAGCCCTCACAATGGTTGGCACATCCGGTTTCGGATTTGACACTCACTGCGGCCTCCATGTGGACAGTCACAGGACGCCTGCGCCTACTGAGGGACCATGGGTGGCTCGTGCTGCACCACCTGTAGCTCCATCCACACACCCCATATCCAGTGTAAAAGTGAAGGAATAAGACCGGGAGGCATGTGGACGTGTGCCACGTTTCATCAACGCCTCCGGCCCATACATGCACAGCAGCATTCCAGTCAGACCAATCGGGGGATCATGCGTACCAGACGTACACAAGGCGTTGGCTGGGTCATAGGCAACTCCACCCTGGATGCATGGAACCACTTTCTGAGCCTAGTAGGGCCACGAGGACCGTGCACACCGTCCCCCAGCAACGGTTAACAGTCTCCGGGCAGCAGTAATCGAGGTGGAAGGTGTTAGACAGGTGGGCAGCTTGTCAACCTTCACAGCAAGTGCAGCCAACAGAATTTGATGGAAAATAGACACGCATAATTGACAAGGAATATACAGCAGAATAATAGGACTGAGGACGTAAAATAAAATGTAATACTTTAAACTCAAGTTAAAAAGATCGAATTTAAGCATTAGCCGGTGTACCCCAACTACGGTGAAGAACGCTGATGCATGCAATATCTATATTCTTGCCTCACTCGTCTTTGTTAGCTGTATGAATATGTCGTAGTTAACACAGTTGAACCATCGAATAGTGGTTCCACTTTTTTGGTTGGCCCTATACCGACTAGCGTATTAAATCAGCCTATTAGGTTTTACGCCGTACTTTTATGTGTCCTTTCCGTAACGTTGCTTTTTGGTGCGACATCTAACTGATACCCTCTTTGATAACCAAAGGATGGTCTGGTCACCAGCCTAGCAGTTTCACTCTACTGGTTAGAAGCACAGAGATTTAACTACCATTGTGTGATTGTCGCTGTACAGCGGCATGTATTCGAAGTATGCCTTACAGTGTCGGTGAACGATCGTCCTCACATAACTTACGCTCTCTCTTCGTGAGCTACCAGAACTGGGAACATCCGAAGTGAATGCTGACAAAATATCTATAGTTAAACAGTAAAGTAGGGAACTGGATGAAATTAGAACAGTACTGGTCACAGCCAGAGGCTTAGCAAGGGAGCGTGGGGACGGTCCGCCGCGGGCGGTATATGACAGGAACGGGAGTTTTAGTACGGTTGATTGGTCGATACCACATAGAAACGGCAAAATTTCCAGCTAAGCCGAAGTTTGAATGTTTTACCCTTACTGTATATGGACGACAACACCATTGCGCCGTGTCGCACTTGTGCAAACATTCTTCCCAGCGATCCCCTTAATTGTTCCATCATGATCACCTTCAGCTTCATCTAGTTGTGTGTCAAATGAGTATCCATTTCCTCGAAACCAAATTTGCACTTCAGCCTAAGCTAATTGTGTGACCTCCACGCGCATACTCTGCCCTCAGTCATAGCGAAAGTGTTGTCACCTCCCCGGGGCATCAAAATTAGTTGCTACTCCATCGGTCACAGCCACACATAACCGGGAGAAGAGCTGGACGGAAGTGTTGTCTATAGAAGACCCGCATATACTGTGAAATGTTAAAATCTCACTTCGAGTCAGTAATTTTGAACGCCACGATTTGTTGTGGGTTGTTTGAAGTGTTTAAGGCAAATCACTTTAGATCCATTGATAGATGTAGAAACCCAGCAACTGTTCGCAACGTATTAAAATGCAAATCCAGGAAAGGAATCGAACAACCGTTATAGTCTTTCTGTTCTCATAATGCGAATAGACATTGAGCAACTCAATAGACGCCTGTTGATAAAGATTAGATGGGATGATTGTGTTGTAGCGTATACAAATGGATGGTTCAGTGTACTGCTATGAGACTGTGTTCGTGAAGGCGTAAGTGGTTAGCATCACAATATGTTTACAGACTCATGTTTCGTAACCTGTGCAAAAAGTCAGCTTTTTCCGCTTAGGTTCCATGCGGCCATTCTATCCAACTTAAATGTAGGACAGCACCCTGCAGTAATGAGAAACCAAAGTGACTTGTAAAATGGAATTGCGTATTTCTCTACTGGATTTAAATCAGGAATTTGACTTGAGCTTCTGATAATGTTTACCATTTCGAACCTGAAAGTTTCAAGTGCAAAGTAATCCCAACGTGTATTGCGTAATTTAGAAATGCATTTCTCTGGAGAAAGCGCCAGAAAAGCTTGAACTAGCCCAACGTGAGCTACAAAAGCATTATGGGCTGATGTCGAAGTTAAACGATCTGGACCCGCAGTTGTTACCACGTGACGCAGTTGCCATTGTCAGCAGCTGGATTGATGACGGTGAGAACAGATGGAATGAGGCCAAACGGAAGAGAGTGGAAAAAGTTGGATCCTCCCTCAAGAGTCGTTTGGAGGCCTGGGATACGCTGGCAACTTATACTGAAAAGACAGAGGTGATTCATCTTTTTGGTAAAGGCTGGTACAGAATGCACATGTTTATTGTTATTCCGTAGTAACCGTTTGCTTTCTTAAATGTCAGTTAATTGAACGCGATCTTACACTAGTTTAACATTATGCTATCCAGTGCTTCTGTGCATTGTCAATGGGGACTCATTTTATAGGCAAAATGTCAATGATTTGACAAATATTTACTGATTCCTCGAGCCTTTATGGATATAGGAACGCGCAGTATTATCAAGCGAACAGTTGTTTCAATAATACTTTCTCAGGCTTGTAAAATTATACGCAAGTAAAAGGCGAGAAAATGTAGGCTCAGCACAGGGACCGGTAGACAGTTTACAATCACTGATCACTCGCAATCACAGACCACTAGGTCATAGCTGTAACGCGTACACAATTCCCTGGTTCGGAAAGAGCAGTTCGTCTGAGCCAAGTCAAGCACAGCGTGTGAGTGAATCTTCTCTGGACACACAATTCCGGCTTGTACAATCTGATCGCTAAGCTTTCAAACGACTCAAGTACACGCTTTCTAACGCACTTTGATCAATTACCGGGAGGTTGAACGACTCAGTCAGTTTAGGGGAATGTCCTGTGTCGGCTAGATGCATGGCTATGTAGAAGTTGGTTAGCTTTCGGCACCAATTCGCAAGCCAGGCCGGATGGTGTTCCCTCACCCTGTCAGACAGGCACTTCTCGTGTGTCCAATGTAACCTGCCCCACAAGAAAGCTGAAGGAGTAAATGCACATGGATTAAGCGTGGAAAAGTCCTTTGTCTTTTGGACTAATTTTCACCAACCGGTAACCGATGAAGCAAATCTGTAATTTCGCTGCCGGGGAAATGTGTTTGGGAGTGTGAGAATGGCGATGAGTTGGAAGTTCGGCAACGGTAATTATAGAAGAACGGGTTTCTTTTCTGCTAGGACAGTTATAGGAGATTGCCTCCTTTGCTCCATGTTGGCCTTCATGATAATATCGGGATCCCATTTTCCTTCAATGTCTAGTGTATAAGCCGCAATTCCCCATAGAACGTGTCGCTCGAGCAAATTCTTTCTGTCCGACTCACTAAACTGAAAGTCAGGTTTCCGTTTGATCTGAGTGGAACAGAAGTGACGAAATGCACGCATTGTCCGTTGTAAGCAGGTTCCCCATAAAAGGATAAAAACCAACTATGTGTTTCCTTGCCGAACCTGAAAAGTGCGTGTGCAATTTATATTGCTCGATACTTGATGGTATCACAATGAAAGTCTTATCATTGGGTCCGATATTGTGCCTTCTCACCAGAATGGACAATACAATGGTACTTAAAGACAAAGTGGAAAAACTATACGCAGAGACTTTACAATTGTCACCGTCATCTGACGCGCAATTAGTGGAGTTGAAGTCGCTTCTGTCGGAACCTTGTTATCAACATCGCCGAGCTGGGATAACTAATAAAACCCAGTTGAGACAGGAATATAATCAGACGTTAAATCATGGAACCATGGTATAATAAGGATAAAATAGCAAAAGCTAGACTAGTTCCGTGGGATGGTTTGTGGGAATAAGGTTAGTTCCATAAAGGTGCACAAAAGTGGAAGACGCATCTGTGGACTCAACATGGTATCCGCGTTAACGCAAAGGTTTATCCGTCCACTGATTTCGTGTGGGGATTGGTGAGCACAATGTTCGTCTGTGACTTGCCGTCACTCAAAGAATGGCAATCAGATCAAGTAATGTAGGTGGCGTAAAGCTTTGTCGCATCTTTCTTTAAAAATGGGTAGCGTAGGTGCGGAAATGACAGAAGTCGAAAGAGTGTTCCACAGTTGACAAACGCAAAGGGAAAATAATGCCAGCAGCATTCCAACCGACTGTATTGGGTGGCCAGTTTCATTTGGTGATCGCTTAATTCCGTGTTACGGCTAAGCTTCAGAAGGTGAGTGCAGCCGGGACAGGGGTTTTTCATGATTTACAACGCCAGGATGAGGTCACCACTTAGACAGCGGTATCTTCCGCTGTGCACTCCCAGGGCTTGCAATCGCGTATGATATGGCAGGTGGAACAATCCGTTCACTTTTTTCGTTGATCTTCGCTCTGCCGTCTTCAGTGCAGGGAGATTGCATCTTAACCAGGTTTGTCACGCTTAGATCGCGTACTCTAAATGAGGCCTCACGTACGCACTGAACATTTGAGGGAGGATGGAGGGATCGGAGCTTCCGAACGCTCTCCATAACATGCCAACATGCTGGTTCGCGGTTTTCGACCTCTTCAAGGACTGCGTCGAACAGCCGAGGTAGTCTTTCATCACCACCCCAACGTCTCGTTATGGTGAGGCGATTTTCATTATGTCGTTGCCAAACTTAGATGCGTAGGTGGGTTTGTGGCGGACATGCACAGTTTTGTACTTGTCCGTGTTAAACGGAAGTCGATTTGCCTTGGACCATTCAAACGCCAGGTCTAAGTCTCGTTGCAGCCGAGTGTCCGCCATATCTTGTTGTCATCGACCAAAAGCAGGAAAGTCGGCTTGAGGACACTCGCAAGATCGTTAAGGAAAAACAAGAATAAACGCGGTCCCAACACCAACCCTTATGGAACATCACATTCCACATTAATTGGGTCAGAAAATGAGCCCCGAACTCCGACCTGAAGGCGTCGCAGGAGGAGAAGGTTGCCCATCCATCCAAGAGCAGGGTTCACAACCCCGTTCGCTTGCAGCTTTCGGAGAAGGATGACGTGATCGATGCGGTCGAGGGCTTTAGAAAACTCTAGGTAGAAGACATCAATACCGATCGCACTATCGGTTTTCTCGGTCCAACTGCCATGGGCAACAATTAGATTGGTAGTACATGACCGATGCTGACGGAATCAGTGTTGCTCCGGTGCTATGATGTTGGGCCTTTCAAAGCAGCCCATTAATTCATCACCTATGATCAATTCCATCACCTCTGAGAGCACCGGGAGGGGAATCATTGGCGATAGTTGACTGGCTCCGAACGATAAAATCTAGAAAATCGGCGTACTGATGCCTTGCTTTCATACGCTAGGGACCTGTTTTTCTTCCTGGCAGCATTAGCAAAATAGCGTTAATGGCTCAGCTATCCTCGTAGTTGCCACCTGCAGTGCTTTCGGGGAAATGTTGTCAACGCCGGGAAAACTATGGGTGTGTATCAATAGCAGCTTCCTCAAAATTGTAGCTGAACAAATCGTGACATTTGTAAATACTGCAATCTGGAAGAATAGAACAGGTATGTTACACATGCTGGTAGCACGTGGGAAAAATAAAGCCTATTGTAGCCGTATGATGTTGGTTACATTTTCGGTGGTTTGAGCACGTTCACCCACTGATATTAGGAGGGGAATACCACGCTGCACATTCTGGAAGCTATTCACACGTCTGTACAGAAGCTTTTGTTAGCACAAAACTTTTCTGTCAGACTCCGCTGGTGTACCAAGTTGTCCTTACGGAAAAGTGTGTTACAGTGATTACGACACACAACATAGTGGCTCCTGTTGTCAGGGCTGAGGTTCGGTCTATTCACCTGCCACACGGCATCTCTTACTGATATGTGTTTTTGGGTTCTGCTTGAAATGAATGTTTGTGCTCTTGCCGAACGAAGGGACATATTGCCTGATGCAGATTTAATCAGCTCACTGAACTTGCCAGTAATATCCAAAAAAGTACTATCAATGAAACACTTGTCCGGAATCTCCCAGCTGGCATCTCCCACAACTTCTGTCATTGTGTCGTAGTGCGTGATTGTTCTTGTGCATACACCGCATAACACATAACACACAAAGTCATAAGTTATGGGCTCTCCATCCTTGCTTTCTCAATCATAAGCTCTTGGTTCAGGAGAACTAAATCAAGCACGGATGGTTTAGTTCATGCTCTGAATCTGGTGGACGAAGTGACATGGCTAAAGAGTCGAATGCTTGCAACATACTCCTGCTGGTTGGTCTTAAATTGCTTTGTTGGGGATAACGAAACTTCCAGATCATGAATATTGAAGTCTCTTGAGGTGAGAATATGAGTGTATTGTCGTCGTAGGACCCTTCCCAATGATGTCAGGGGAGTCCATCTGTTAGGTGGATATTGGGGAACAAAACCAACTGCCAAGAGGCAAGTTTGTTACGTCTCATTCAATGGCTGCACCAGAGTGAGCCCATGATCATCGTTTCCGGATCGATCACTGGTTCGCACTGCGGGTCGTTGCGGTAATACAACTCTACAACCCCCGCTCTTGCTAGAGCGCTCGTTTCGGAGTATGGACTTCAAGATCTGTAATTTCTGAGTGTAACCAATTTTCCGTTACGTATATGAGGTCCCAGATATATGAAGCTTGACGTTGCGGAATTTCGGCAAGCTGGTTCCGGAGACCTTGTGCATTGGTGCACATGCAGGAAAGTTACTCTGTTCTTAGGAATGAATCGTGGGATGCGTGTTTTGGGTAAAATATTGTGCCGACCGATGAAAGGTCGGCTACTAAGCGTTGTTTGGGTGGGACGAGGAATAACTCATCTGTGTCAGATCCATGGACCCCACCATTACTACTTTGCTTTTCACTTTGCAGGTAATTTATAAAGTGTGTTTGCCAGCTTCCTTGGCAAGTTGATTGAAGTTATCCGAACTCTTGTCGGAAACTCGTCCGACTGAGGGGCTTCTCTCGTGTATTTGTTTAGCAGATGCTGCTTTGAGCCGGAGCTAGGAAAGTAGGCTGCTGCGGCCTGCATACCAGCACTCTTATGCCATTGCTGATATTTGTTTAGATTAAAGGACCACTTTCACAATCCTCGGACCACATCTTTTATAGTTTGATGATCTGCGCAGCCTGGAGATAGATTGTGCTGTGACGTTTTCCAGGGAGAGGGTCTCGCGAATGTATCGCCATTGTTCCTGGTCGTGAGTGGTCGCTTCGCGCTCAGCATGACTTCCAGCCTCGGGAACACCATGTACCGGGGTAGTCCTGGTTACGGATTCCTTCCGGTTTTCGTCCAAGTAGTGCTTCGCCTGTCTGCGCTCGCTCTACGGATTATCCGGGAATAGGCGGACGGAACGTAACCCATTCCGGAGGCGAGCTGTCGATAAGAGAACAGCTTCTGCTTCATTGGCGGAAGGCAGCACAACCCGGCGAAGGTTTGGTTCACAGTAGTGCTGTGAGTTTGTGTGACGGATAAAGCGTGTCAAATTGACGGGCTTAGATACAACACCCATAATGTCACATATTGAAGTCTACTGGTTCACACCATCGAGTTGTTTTCCTATTAATGAACTTGAGCTCGATTCAGGAACGTTGGTGCAGATGACCGTTAGTGCACTACGTGAAACTGGGGTTGAGGTCAACCGACCAACTGCCCTGCATACAGCCGATGGAGGCTGTGTTGGTACAGCTTCGTCTTCTTCATTTAATTTGGGCCCAGTGGGAGTGGCCGAAGGTCTAAGTTTTCGGTCATCTTTGGTGGCCATCCAGTTCCAGCCACCACTAGTGTCGAACTCCTGCATTTTCGGAACTGTTTGGAGGGTGGGTGATGTCCTGACCCTACTCATTCCATTTGGACTGGCTGTGGTTGTTTCATATGTCTCTTAGCTACTGGTGGTATCGACTTTTAAAGTTACAGGTGACGTATATTTAGCGAGCTGCCCAGTCTTCTTCTTAAGTATAAAGTCGGAGCCTAATTGGAATGACTAGGAGTTACTCGCAGTCATGCTTTCTTCAAATGCATCGCTTTTGGTGTTCCGCATTTGCTCAATCATTTCCACCAGTCTTTCGTATGTTTGCGAAAGTTCAGGTGCAATAGTTACCAGTTAGATAACTATGCGTACTGATCCATCCATCCATTGACATCTGCTAGTGATTTACTGTGAGCTGGGAAAATTTAACCTGAAACTTGCCAAGGCAATTGAAGCACTGCATTCCAGTTATACATTTTTGTGGCAGGAAGGAAACCCACGTACTACTGTCGAACTGGATGCCGTAACAGGGGCCTTTGCTTGGTTGTCACAATCCAGTGCGTCAATTGATGCTATTCCGATGACGGCCTGAGCTCTTATGGTTTCCTGTGGGTCCAGTGTGTACTGAATTGTCCTGCGTGTTTCAGGTCTTATTGTGCGTCTGGCCCTGGCGGAGCAGATTTAAATGTCTCGATCGTTCTCGCGGTAAACAAAGCGACTGAGCCATAGGGACACAAAGTGTATGATAGCTACTTTCATGTACGGTCCACATTTATGGTAGATGACTCGTTGGATGACATGCGGAGTAGGCTTTCGTTTGAGACCACAAATCTTGCTGTGTTGTTTGTGATTCAGAAAATTCCTCGATTACGTTTCGGCGAGAAAGCCACAATGTGGAGATAAAAATCGATCAACACAAGCTAGATCCGAAAGATGGAATGCACTAGATAGCGCTGATGAAGCCGGGTCGAGTGAGCGGTAACATACGTTTTGTGACGAAATGCAGTCGAGAAACAGTGAAAAATCGACGTGTTTACAGATGAGCGTTTAGGATGCAGATTCGTTCGAAGTCGGTAATAAAAATGTTTCGTTCACTCTGTCCGATAAAGGCGCTGGTATAATTGTTTTGTACAAAGTAGACTATCTTCGGAAAATGCATGAAATATTGGCAGATGACGCCAAGTTTTCGAATGCGTTGGGCGAGCAATACAAAACATCAGACTGAAAATCAAATTTGCAACTACCTTAAGTAGCACCGTGACGGTGTCTATATTAGTGAAGTTGACTGTAAAAAGCAACATCCTACATAAGCAGCGATTTCAAGGTTATGTTTGACGGTATACGATTCCGGAGTTGCCTGCCCAAGCGGCCTCCGTCAGACTGTCACAGGACGCCTGCGCCTACACAGACACCACGGGCGGCTTGAACTCATCACCCACAGCTCCATCCACACACCCCCATATCTAGTGTGAACCCGAGGGAATAAGACCGGGAGGCATGTGGATGGCAGCCACCTTTCCTCAACAGAGCCGGACCACAATCATATATATATATATATATATATATATATATATATATATATATATATATATCGAGATAGCGAGGCACGCCTGTATAGACATGATCACAGCAATTCCAGCAAGAAATGATTGACAAAGGTACAACAATGTTAGAAGTTTACAAGTAGCATATTGGTTCTTTGGTGAGTATCTTTGTTTACGTCGGTATGAATGTTTTCAGCTGTGTTGATTGAAGTTGTGGATGTGACGCGTTAGTTGCGATTGTGTTCTGTGTTCTGTCTGCCTGAGAAGGAGTGAAAAGGAAACTTTGTTCTGGATGACTGGCATCCGTGGAGTGTGTATGGCAGTGAATTTTTTAATGGCGAGTCACATCCACGACATCGTAGTATAGTTAAGCGTACATTACTGCTTTTTATAGGGAGAACGCTTGTGCAGGAGAAACCCACCAAGTCCTAAAACTTTGTCGCCGAAACATTCGCTGGAACAGGAATAAGCGAACCACGCAGCTGGCACCACAGGGAGGTTGTTCACCTGGGCAGCCAGAGCAGAAGCATTCCAGGGCGGCGGGTGGGCCGTATCCCTCTCCACACTGGATGCATGGAAACACTTTTTGAACCTAGCACGGCCACAAGCACCGTGCACTCCGTGCCCGTCCCCAGCAACGCGTCACAGTCTCCTGGAAACATTATTCGAGGTGGCTTGTATTAGACAAGTGGGCACGTTGTCAACCTTCACATCAATTACGGCCACACCGGGGATATCAAGCAAAAGCTCATCACTTGAAACGACGTCAGATAGCATATATGGAATAAAGCATACGGATAAGTCCATATAACTCCTTGAAAAACTGTCATACGAAATAAATGTGTTGTCAACAAACCTGTAACCCTCACAGCGGGAAAGAAACCCGTTTTTCTACGATTACCGTACAGAGGGGAAAGCGTTGCCGAACTTCCAACTCATCGTCATTCTCACACTCCCAAACACATTTCCCCAACAGCGAAATTACAGATTCGCTTCACCGGTTACCGGTTGGTGAAAATTAGTCCAAAAGACAAAGCGCCTGTCCACGCCCAACCCATGTGCATTTACTCCTTCAGCTTTCTTGTGGGGCAGGTTACATTGGACACACGAGAAGTGCCTGTCTGACAGGGTGAGGGAACACCATCCCGCCTGGCTTGCGAATTGGTGCCGAAAGCTAACCAACTTCTCCATAGCCATGCATCTAGCCGACACAGGACATTCCCCCAAACTGACTGAGTCGTTCAACCTCCCGGTAATTGATCAAAGTGCGTTAGAAAGCGTGTACTTGAGTCGTTTGAAAGCTTAGCGATCAGTGTACAAGCCGGAATTGTGTGTCCAGAGAAGATTCACTCACACGCTGTGCTTTATTTGGCCCAGAGGAACTGCCCTGTCCGAACCAGGGAATTGTGTATGCGCTACAGCTATGACGTAGTGGTCTGTGATTGTCAGTGTTCGGTGATTGTAAACTGTTTACTGATCCTTGTGCTGAGCCTACTTTTTCTCGCCTTTTACCTGCGTATAATTTTACAAGCCTGAGAAAGTATTATTGAAACAACTGTTCGCTTGATAACATTGAGATACGAATTTTACTGCTCTATGGACATACCACGTACATTAGCCAACAGTTTTTCGTTGTGGATGAGAAACGGGGAGAGATGTTAAAGGATCTCAGCTGCCACTCGACGTACATTCTTGGGATATCCGACAGTGTTATGCATAAGGTAGAACAGTCCTGTTGGTGAAGACTCCGCGAAATCATCGGCACACATACAAAGACACCGTCGTGTTACGTTTTCAAACATGTGAATATAAGTTATCCCTTACAATGAGTGGGGCTGAAGCTACTCCAGCTTTTAGCAGGTTCAATGTTCCTTGTGTATATGGAATTACATGCTACAGTCAGTTCTGCCACTACGCTGCGCAATGGATGATAGTCCATTCTTGTGTGGCTATGGTATGCACCACAGTCATAACCTGGAATTGGTGTTGGCTGAATAAGAAGTTGTCGAATGACTAATCAGTTATGTGAAACATCAGTAACGACTGTGTTCCACTGTTATCAAGTTCCCTAATGTTCTCGTGATCCGGTGCTGAATATGTCTGGTATGCTGCGGATCTTCGTTTAACAGAGGAATCATATGTTCCTTTCCATGAATTCCGAAAATGACTGCACTTTTCAGTTAACCCAGAGCGATTGTATTAGTTAATTAGCTGGTCCCAAATTTGCCGATGCACATGTTTGATGGGAATGCTGTCGTACAAGTGAAAGTGAATCGCGGTATTGATTGAGATTGCGTTGTAATTTAATCACACAACGTGTGTTCCAAAGTGACAGCTTTAGAGAGATATTAACTGTTGGGGCAAGCGTTACCTATCGCCACTCGGTGTCCAAATTTTAGAGGTTCTAAGTTGCATTCCCGATGAGTGTAATTACAGGGTTTCAGGGGACAAAAACCAATATTCATCTGAGTGAAACTCAATCAGCAGCCCTTTCAAATGTGGGTTATTCAAGACCTTTGAGCAACAAGCAGACACTTTTGCGACACTATTTGATTTACGATGTGTATCGTCCTATTTTTTAGCGTTGGCTGGCTCATGCTGACCGCATGATAGCAGCTCAGACGATTCCTGGAGATTACGGAGATGTGCAGAAGTGGCTGGAGGAGGTACAAAAAGCGGCACAATTTCTTGGCAGTGTTAGCGGACTGCAACAGTATGAATTACTCTCAGACCGGTTAAAACAAGTAAGCGAAAAGGTAAGTACTTTGTACTAGCGATACCAAATTCGTGAAAACATGGTGACGCACTGTTATCCAGTTCGTGTAACCTGAGAAGGTCAGTAAACAGCAGCTCAGCCTTATGTGACCAGGTGGAGAGAGCCTTTTCTACGGCATCAAGCGGCTGTTCCGCACAATATCTTCACACGCACCCCAGCTACAGAAGGATCATATGTTGTTTCCGAATGATTTGTCGGCCGAATACATGAAATGGGAATCCCATGCGTTTGAAAGAAAGAGCTGATTGACCAAAACAACTCTATTTTTGCCATTGCTAATGTAAGTAATCAGGCACATGTGGAGCAGTGACAGTTAGCTTGGGAACATGTAAGCCTTCCTGACCAACTCAGCTCGCCTCAGCTAGTTATCAGTCGTCTTTTATCTTAATTTAGGCCAAAACATAACTAACACTACACAATCTTCAATTCAATTTCAATATCTTGATTGTGAATGACGCGACTGGTTCAAACACGATATTTCCGTAATTCATTCTACGCTGTGGCAGATCCCATCTTGAAGACTCCGGATAATAAACCAACCGAAGCACCAGGGGGAAGCGAAATAAGTAAGGGTATGATTGGCTCGTGGAGTACCCGCCGTGTGTCTGGATTGCGACACGCAATCTCGATTGAGACTACAGTTTACTTTGAAGTGAACCTGTGCCACTTCGTTCACCGGCGTCACATCCGAAGTGGAGAGCTTAGGAGCTGCTTTCTCCCAACACTGCACTCCATTCCATTGCGATTTCTGTGACGCTTCCTAGTACATTGTTTGTTCGCAGTGGCAGTTGACAACGCGGGCTTCGAACAAGTGTTAATTGACTTGCGCGAAGCACTGTAGCCTCCTACTACATCAATAACCTAGTGTGACTATTAAATGAAGCTAGTCATTATCGCTGCCAAAACCATATCAGCAGCAGGCAACACAAATTTAGATTAGGTGTAAAACTGCCAAACAATTTTTGTCAAGCTAAAGAAGGAGCACTGGAGCGGTTAACTGCAACAATACAAAAACGGTTTTGTCAATTCTAGGTGGAACAGTGTGCATACTGGTTAAATGTCCTAAAATGTGCACGCGGTGGTGGCTAACCAAATCCGGCTACTTTCGCCAGTTTCTGTCTATCAGTTTGGTTACCAATGTCCGCTCAGAATTGGTTACAAAGCGATATTCTAGAGCGGTAACCGTTGAGCAACAAGGTGCAGTAAAACAAGTTAAAGGTTTAACTAATTTTGGTTGCAAATAACGAATGCGGTGCTGGAAGCAGGTCCATGTGGAATACTTCCCATGGTTAACAGATTCCAAAAAATTATCGATACCATCGCATTTCAGATTTCTGTGTTGCTCATTTATTTTACAGTACTCAACGCCTAGAGTGATTTTGCAGGTGATCCTTAGCAGATACTACGTAAAGGTTTGCGATCTCCTGATATCTTCCACGCTATTATGATTTCAAAATGTAATTGGTAACATCCATCAAGCATACCGTGGACTTTCACTCATTCTTAATTTGTAAGGTAATGTCAAGTTTCGCCTGCTGCTGTTTTATCAATCAGTAGACCCGGGTTTCATATTCCGCGAGTGCGCGGAAGCAAACTGAACAATGAGCAGTGCTTCAGAACGGGTAAAAAAGCGATTGCTTTACAAGTTCTTTAGGAGGAAAAGAGTGGTGAATTATAAAAAAGGGGTTGGAAGGACAGGAAAAGGGAAACTTATCATTCAACTCAATGCACCGAGTTATTCGCATGAACATATTTACTGGTCTGCTTAACTCTACGTAGCGGAGTGGGGTGGTGAGCGCACTGTTAGCGTTAATTCGTTTTTCGATGAAGACAGACTATGTTGCGTAATGCAAATGGGATGAAGTGCAGTCCGATCGCTTTTAAAAGGTCTTACTGTGGTGCGAAAATAACTTGAGAAGGGAGAGCGTTCCACGTTCTGGATCCCCGAAGGGAGAAACGGTTTTGTCAGTCATCTACTCGGCTGTAATTTTGGTCAGTTTGAACTAGTGGTCTGTCAGGTTGGCATTGTGGCTGACTTACAACAAACCACAAAATGCGTGATTGGGGTTTGTCAGTATTTGGTACACCGTCATAAGGTCTCGCAAGCGTTGCTATTCACCACAGTACAAACCAAAGGCTTGCAGTCTGTGTTGGTAAGGCAGATGAAACAGTCCTCTAAAGATTTTCATCGCCCTACGCTGTGGCGTTTCAAGCGCACCAGCAAGGTGGTTGTGCCAAGGTCGCAAGGTTTGGAATGCATACCCCGCGTGGGGTCTCGAGCAGGCGTTCGGCACTTGTAAAGAGATGTATGGCGTGCACTTTCCGAACACACTGCGTAAGACGTCAAGGTGCTGACTGGCGTACGACGCCGACGGTTTGTCTGGTATCGTTTGACTTGGTATAGCTTGTTCAGACTAGTAACAAGTTTGTGGGGCAGGACTAATTTCGGCGGAAGCTGCTTTTCTATGACACTATGATGTGGTTACTCTTAATGTATCCCATGGGCACCCCTGCGATTATACATGCCATAACTTTGGATAAAACTGGAAGAAGTTTGATTAGACGGTAGTCCGAGGGCTCCGCACCATTCCCACCATTATAGATAGGAGTGATTATTCCCTGCTTCCACACTGCGGTAACCTGCATTGCCTCAAGGTATTATTAAAAGAACTGAGCTTACGGTTCTGCGAGGTTCCTGGTGGTTGTTCGCAACTCCTTCAGTCTTATGTTGTCCACACCAGGAGAGCTGTGCACGCGCAAAGACAGTAGTCATTTCATCGCATTTTCGGCAGTGCACTACACGTGTCTAACTCTTGGAGACGAAGTGAGCTGTGACAAGAACCGGTCAGGTGACAACGCACTTTTGAAATGAGGATAAACTGTAGCCGAAGCGCAATGGCCGCCTCTTGGCCGCTTCTTCTAGTGAGCACCAGACTATCTGCCGCAAGTAGAACTTGGACCCCGTGATTCATTCTCTTAAGCTTGTTGACGTGCCTGTAGAGCATCTTAGGATTAGTAGAGAAATTCGTATTTAAGATTGTTGGTGTTTTAGGTTGTCTCAGCGGAGCAATTTGACACAATGATTTCGCTCAGTTATGTAGGCATACCAGGTCTGCGTATTCGAACAGGCTTTATGAGCTCCCCAGGCGGTTTCACTTAAAAGCATGCATTTTCGTATCCATATACTAAAGAAGCACTTCGTTTACTGTGAACGAAATACTTTAGTTTCCGACGGATTCGCTCCTAACCAGACGAACTGGGTGACAAATACCTTCCAGATGACTCGCTAGACAGTTCAAGTTGGGAAGCACCGGTTGATTGCTTGAACGAGATCAGACAGTGCATTGTAATGGGTGACGAGGTGAACTTCGCTGTCTTCACAGATGTATTCCTCGTAGCAAATGTAGCGGAAGGGCGACGTCGCGTGATCGCTACGGCCAAGCAGTTCACCTATGTTTACTGCGTCAAGCATTAGCTCCACTTCGGTGACTAAAAGTCTAAGACAGATGGCTCATCGCCATCCTGAATCTCGCGGGGGCGGTGACGTGATACCCTGGTCATATATCGGCGCTTACTACTCGAAAGTCAGCTTTGAACTGTTCGCTGAGCGAAGCTGGGAGTTCGATTACGTACAGATTCAAGTCCCCATCAGAGGGACTTGGCTGTTTAACCGTGCCAGGATGCGCGGCATAACGGACGTCAGGTGAGGATCTATTTCCAACGTGGATCTAAAGGGAGGGTAAATTATTGCAAGTAAGCACACCTTATCATGTTACAGATGCAGACGCACCACAGAAGATCGACAGCTTGTGTAGTTGGTTCGTAGATGATATCGCTATACAGGTCAGCGTGTTGATACAAGCGCACTCTGCCTCCGCTGCGTGGTCCATCGTTTCGTAGAAGATCCATACCAGTCAGGGCTAACTCAGCACCAGTGGTTGCAGAATTCAGCCATCTTTCAGTTATCATGACGATATCCGGATGAGTGGAAGCTTGTTAAGTACTAAGCGCAGTTAACTAACTTAGAAGACTTTAAGCGCTGGAATATAAGCAGGTGAGGACCTCAGAGGTTAGCAGTGTATTTGCAGATATGGCTTATGTGTAGGATCGTTCCGACGCTTGTGAGGTCGGCTGTCGTTTAGCTGTTGAACCGTAATCGCTGCAGCGTACCGCAGCGGAATTCCGGGTTGGCATGTAGAGTTCTCGGTCTCAGTAGAAGGCTGAGAACATAGATACAATTCAAATGCCGGAGTGTTTTACCTGCATCCCGATTCTGAGTGATATGCTAAAGCGGGCTACACGAGGGCGCATTTTCAGTGACATCTCCTCGATTTGTTGCCAAATGTCCGTCGAATTATTGTACATTTAGGATGGCAGCTTCTTGCGCAGTTGCCTGCTACCTACCCATGACCTTTTCTGCCATGGGTTTTGATTGCTATCTTAAGTAGCACTCGTGAATCCTTCTCTCTGTAGTTTGACAATGATAGCTACCTTGAGATAGAATTAACAGTAATATTTTTGAGTGCGAGTACTTCACAAATGGAGCGTCATTCCTCCAGGTCATGTGCTTAAACCTCTAACTCGTTTTGAGTCGGAAGCTCCGGGACACCGTAGGCAAGGAGCGATTTTACTTCCTTTTGTTTGCGGTATTTGTCCGAGTTAAGTTTGCGTTTATGACGTTTGTTACATGGAACATCTGAAAAAATGTGAACAGGGCAAGCAGTTTTGGGAGGCGAGTGGCCGACAAGAGAAAGAGCAGTGCATCATTTTCTGACCACTGCGTTACTTGAAGTAGTCGTAGGTTACTGTAGTATGCCGTGTTTGCGTGCCGGACGAGGCGAATCCTACTGGACTGCTTTGCTTGGACCCCAATTAGTTGACACACTGCGTCGCACTGATCGTCTTACAGCTTACCTTGGACGGGGTTTGCCTCGGATTCACGCCCATCGGGGAAAATAAAAGTAAGAAAATTATGGTGCTGTCAAGTGTTGTAATCCCTGGAGGAGTATGGCTGCTTCCTTTGGTCGTACAAGTGGTGGCATACTAGGTCTCATGCTATGATGGTGTTCGTAGATGCTTTTAGTTTGATAGCGATCCAAGCTATGGTAAATAGTGCCTATATCATGTGGGTGGCAATCATGAACGCGTAGGTAGTTGGTCTCGCAGCAGTGTGGAAAGAACTGCGGCTTGGCTGATGTGTTCTTTCCGAGAGCATCATTAAAAATAGGGTCCCGTACAGTGACAGATGTCAGCGTCGTTGTTGCACCTAAAGCTTGAGCATTGTTCTCACGTCCGGCTTAGCTGCTGTGTTCCGTACATCCAGCTCAAGGCTGTGGTTCTACCATGGCAAGGAGAGCAGATGTTACGATAATTGATCGCTCTACCATATCTGCAGTCTGTCGCACTGTTGCGCCAGCATTACTATACATCTAAGGATTGGAATGGCGATACAATTTGTGCAGAGCCGAACGAAATCCATCGTGTCATTTCGTTTCTTTCCTTTGACTAGGCTATGGTGCGAACACTCCGAATGAAATATTTACAACCGTTAGAGCATTTTATTTCAGTTGGTACCTTCTTAAAGCAACTTCTATAATTCATGTTCAATTGTAATCCTACAGGCTTAGCGCTCCGTGGGTACACGACGCGTGCCCTGGCGATCGCCAATCCAATTACCTTACTGGAAGTGTCGTTTGCCGCGATGTCCCTCTGAGCATCAAGAGAAAATGGATGGGTCGAAAACCTAAGCCGTAGCACCATCATGATACCAACGTATTGGTCAACTTTTCGTGACGTAGATCCGGAAGGACTTAAATACTGGAGGTCATCATTGCTGGCACAGCAACATAGCAGCATCCTTGTAACTTATTTATTCCGAGTCCGCAAGCGTAGGCGACGTATGGGCGACGTCTCTGGAAGTTCTGTAGTATTGTCCGACCTAAGGTAATCCTATCCATGTCACATGGGGAGAACACATGAGGACAGTCTATTTGACTGCCAATTTCTGACGAATAATGTTTAGCTTACCAAATTTTGGTGGACTAGTGTTACACAAAATCGTATTTTGAGTGCAGATAAGTTGGGAGCAAGAATAACGAAATTCGGCGACACCTTCTACAGCTTACACGCACGAATAATGCAAAAATTCTGACCACAGTTACCTGGTTAACTCAGCTTTCACCTGGATATCGTGGTTTAGAAGATGGTAAGGTGTAGAAGCAAGGATCGCCAACTGCACTTTTATAGAGCACTCAGATGTGTGAGAGGTTTAACTGAACAGTAATTCGTCATTTCCTCACTATTCTGAGGATGCAATCGCATCGGAATCGTGATTTTACTAGAATTACCAGATTTGGGGGACGCGATTGCGAAGTGTTAGACGGAGCAAACCACTAAACAATCTCAGCAAGAGATCCATATACTGGCTAGTGACTTTTGAAGCTTCAGCTTACTTCCAGTTACTCGGTTTCCTTGAAATCGTGTTTCAAACTCTTTACGATAGAATTGCTGTAAGATTGGTTCCTAGTGAACACGGATAATCCGCATAGCGGTTGCACCACTGAGCCATTTACAGACAAGTTAATGCGAGTTGGCGGGGCGAAACCAAGTAACCAGCCGCCTTGATGGTCTGGTAACGTCATTATCTGCAGGCGTGTATAGTCTATAACCCCTTACTGATTGGGTAATCACAGCCACACGCTGCTTATGAATATTTATATTCTCGTAGTTAGTCAGACGGTTTCATTAACCTGCCAGTTTTGTTTTGAAAACTGCGAAGTGAAATATCAAATTTTACTGGGAAAGCAATAGGCGGTGAGTGACAAATCAGGACTCTATCGGGTATCGCGTTGCTTACTTTGACAACTCCATGAATAACAAAAGTTAGTAATTCCGGTGCTGGTAGACGCAGACAACGGAATTGACTGAGCGATGCACCGACTGTCTCGACACTCGAAGTTAAACAAATGGGGACAGTGGTCTCTATACAGGCGCGTGAAATTGGCCCTTGATATAAACGAATTTTACTGCGAAAAACGCTCCATTCTCCACCTGGTTCTTTTCAGCACATTCGTAACTAGGACCAAAAAGAATATGTTCCTACTAATCAAAATAAGAATCCGGATAATTTTTTCTGTCATTAAAGCTATATTTACCGTTTCGATTATGGAAAATGTCTAAAGACGTTCTCGCGTAGAGACCGAGACGTCGTCATAGTAAAACCTTAGCAAAAACCGCACTGCACACAAAATCTTATACACAGTAAATTCCTCACCAGTTTCAAGCATATTTTAAGGCTGCAGTCTGGTTCACAAATAGTTAGCTCAAGTTGGAGGCGATGTTAACTCACTCCTATGTCAGTGACAGGACAACCAGTATGTCAACTTCTTATTTTATCATGCTCCAAATGTGCTGTAAGCTTGAATTACTAACTTGTGTTCACACTTTGGACCATTTCAGATTGAGGGAATAAGAAAGGCAGAGGCACAGAAGTTAGAAGAAGCTCGTATGAATGAGAGTGCAAAAGCTGAAGAAGCGTTCAAGGCACATATTGATCAAGTACAGAAGTGGATTAAACAGGTGGAAATTGCCATGCGCCCTACAGAATCCGAGGAGCTCCCTAGGAATTTGAGTTGCTCAACAGAAAGTCTGAATTGGATCCAACAGAGACTGGAACAGGCCATGAATCATCAAGCTGAGGTGGGCCTCTTCTCTGCACGGCATATAGATAACCATACGGTGCTCATAAAGCTGTATGTAAGGTATCCAAAGCTACATTATCTATACCACATTCCATGTGGACTTGCAACCGACACTTTCATCCTAACACACTTCAAAGTTCTGTCTCTAGTTTGTGACTATTTCCTAGTATTCGGCACTGTCGATCTCCTGTCCAATTTGGCGGTAAACCCATGAACTTACATTGTATCCAGCCCTTGCTGAAGCCTAAGTTACACGTGGGGGTGTGAGATGGGCTCAACAGCACACGAACGCAGGAACCGAGACGTCTCGTGCTCACACGTATGTTGCACTGAACTTTTTCCGAGGTGCGTTCAACACTTAGACGGCACGCAGTCCAAACACCTAAATCTGCTAGTGACTAAGTGCCGGACCATTTGACTTGGCAAGCCTCTTTACCAGCCGGTTGTGACCTCACGGAGCTAGCCATGTGAGTCATGAAGGGTGATTGAGTTACTCAGCGCTGTGTTAATGGGTACTGTGTGTACTTCTGACCACTGCATGGACCCGATCGAGGGTGTTTCGATGATGGAGGGCCCCTGCTTCATGCATACGACTGGTGCCCAATATGAACAACAGTCTGTCCGCAATGTATGCACGTTGCCTTGGATTAGACGGCTACACCGGGTCTATTGACTATATTTTGGCAACGGTCGAAAAATACAGTGGATAACTAGGCTTTAGGGAAAAAGCACGATGAGGACTTGTATGTACACCGTTAAAAATACTAGCAGACTAGAAGAAATTTGCCACCAGTCGTGTCAACGACTGTTGGAAAGGGTAGAGGAACTTGACTGTTCCATGGTAGTACCTTAAACCACAGCACTGGAGTTAGACATCAGTATTTCCTACATAGTGAACCATCCAAATTGGTGAATCGGTCCAATTACGATGTGGATTACAGCACTGAGGTGGCTACTGCACATCACTGTGAGGCATGAACGACTTATCGATGCTATACAAGTACGAAAAAGACGTGAAGTTTAGCTATCTGTCAAAGGCATAGTTCAGAATGCTGCTGTGAGATCAGTGGCGCTGTGTGTGTCAGTGACCTGATCATTGCGTCGAGGTCGCGCGGCGATAATAGTTTTCGATAGACTGTGAGGCCATCTAGTACAGGGATGTTCCAAGTCCAGCCAGCTGGTCAAATGCGGCTCGCGTTAACGTTTCCCGTGGGCCGCGACCGCGACACGAACTAATAAATTTAAGCTTGGATTTGTTCCGTACAGACGACATTATATAGATTACAAAATTAAGGACGTTACGAGTACAAAAAGCAATAGCTTTAGCTCCCTGCAAATATCAATGCTACAGTATTGTTTATTTGAAACCAACTTGTAACAGTTAATCTAGTGATTTTACTAAATGGTTCTTAACTAATTCGACAAATTAGTAAAGCTCAGGATCTCATTTACACCCCTCAAATTAAAAACTTGCAATAAAAATTTATACCCTATGTCATCTTTGGTTATTCCTTTATCGTTACACTGAATAGGGCTCGATATATTTTTACTTCACAAAATAAGGCCCATCTTGAAAAGTTTGGATACCTATAATCTAGTAGGTAACACCACGAGACCATCAACTAGTGTCCCTCAACAGACCTGTAGGGACAAAGAACCTGAGCCCCCAAGTTGGTTTTCTTGCGTATTTCGCATACCTGTTTGTCAGCTTCAACGTCGTACTAGTTTCTAGCCGAAAGCAGTGAAAAGACCAGTTGACGGTGCAACATGGTAGTGCATAGCAAATGTCTCAGAGCCTGAAGTAGCTTAGCGTTTTGCTCGGACTCCATCATACTACTAATATTACTAACTCGCATAATGTACAATGAACAGTGAACAATGATTTATCACGGGACAAAAGCAAGTGCTTGACACGTCCCGTAGAATGGTTGAGGTGAATATGATGAAATCAAAATATGTCTGGGTCATCTATCGAACGTCTGCCGAGATGAATAGTTTGATAATTAACAACAGCGTAAAATTAAAATAAATTATTGAGCGTAAATGTTCAGAAAGACACTGGGGTGCAGTGATCGTTGAGGTAAGGAGTGAGAAAAGTATAATATGGTCGCTCACTTAGGTCCATTTGATACATAAATACTGTTGAAAAGCATGCTTGGCGTGATTCATAATAGAGGAATTTAGGTAACGAAATGTTGGGAGCTAAGAGCAACATCTCATGGTTTTTTGAAAACATCCAAGGTAGGAGAGGATACAACTGAGTCTGGGAGTGCGTTCCAGGGTTGACAAACCAGAAGGGAAAAGTAATTCCGTCGACACTCTAGACGGCTATATTGTTCCTTCAACTTTAAGCAGTTACCCCTGAGCTGCGTGTTGTGGCTAAGTTTCAGCAAATGGTGGCATACATGGTTGGGGTCACTCAGTACCTGATACGCTAATATGAGATCGCCGCGCAGCCTACGATAGTGTCCGCTGAAAATTCCCAGCAACTTCAGCCTTCGGTGGTAAAAGTGATA